TTACATTTCTCGTATCACAGCGATGGAAGTCTGCAGCTCCTCATCACTGAAACATAAATAATTACAACAACAACAACAACAACAACAACAACAACAGCAACAACAACAACAACAACAAGTCGGTTTAATAAAGCGCTTTTTTGGAAACACAAAGTCTCTTCACATCATTATTCTCTCACTCCAAACACGGTGGTGATAAACTACTACTGTAGCCACAGCTGCCCTGGGGCACACTGACAGAAGCGAGACAACCAGTCTGTGCCATCGGCCCCTCCCACCACCACCAACCATTCACACACACACCAGACTCATTCTAGGCAATGGGGGTGAAGTGTCTTGCCTAAGGACACAACAGCAGTTTGGCACTTTACAGCCGCCCCACTGTGGCTGGTGTTCCCAGGAGTGTGTCTTGCCCAAGGACACAACAACAGCAGACAGTGGGAGTCGATGGTGAAAGTCGGGCTCGAACCTGAATGATAATAATAATGATAATAATAATTGGAGCGACATTAGCTCAGTTGTAGAGCATTGGGTTCGATCCCACCTCGAAACCTTCTCCACCGACTCCCACTGATGTCTGCTGTCGTTGTGTCCTTGGGCAAGACACTTAAAAACCTCTTAACATCCGCCTCATTTTGGCTCGTGCACAAAAGTTGGGCATACCCAAATGTCTTTGCTTATTTAAAAACACATCTTACATCTCACATGCTTGTGTGATGCATCATTTTAAAGCTAGAGCCTTCTAGTTTATGTAAAAAAACACTAAAATAATGTTTGTCATTCCTATTTCCCTCTGCATCCTTTGAAGTTAGGGAAAAAAACCCAATTTTTTTAGCCTCGCCTAACATTTTCAATTTCTAAAGGCCCTAAAAAAGGCATACTTCATTGTAAGTTCACAATATTCAAACCCTCTGTTCATTGTGTTGTTGACAACAACTGTCTAAAGTTTCAGACTTCTAAGTTTTATAGTTTTTATGCAGTTTCTCCTTTTCATCAAGTAGTGCACATTTGGCACAATTTGGCACAAGTGTGCCAAATTGTGCCAAATATCTTTACTTACATTTAATCATCATAAAAACAATATTTTTTATTATTGGTACTTATAAGTTACTAATCTATGTGTGTTTTTCTTTTTTAAATGTCAAAGTTATTTTTTTATGAGTGTAAATTCATTGCAGCTTCGAGAGCGTCTTTTGGCTTCCATTACGCACAATTGTCCAGGCACAACATAAGACAGGACACCATTGTCCCACCCCTTGTTCGAAAGCTTTCCTCATTGGCTACAAGGACATGTCAATCGTAAATCCCGGAAGTAAAAGCAAACAAGTTGGGAGCACAACAAAGATCAGTCCTCCATGCGCAAACAGCAGCACTAGCTGACCTTACGGGAGCTCTTGCAGACCCAAAAATTGGTCTAGCTTTTCGGGAGTAGTCTCATTTGAAAGATAAGGAGCTAAGGAACACGTAGATACCAGATGTTTGGGTGAAAAACAAAGCTAAAAGTCCGTTAAAAGTGAAAGAGTAACATCTGTGCTCTTTTTTTTCGTTTTTTTTGCTAAAGATAAATGCACATTTTTGGATTATTTCTGCAGAATGGATTTTACTTTGGGAAATACAAGTGGATATAATTTTCCTTTGGACTGTTCCAGAGAGAATGATGTATTGCAAGCTGGGAGGAGAGCTGATTTATTTGTACAGCACAAGCCCAAAGGTAAAAAACTATTTCGGAATTGATTTATTTTGTGCCCACATTATGTGTTATATCTTTTGAATGCAAAGTCTGATGTAGTTTACACTTGTATATAAATGTAGATAAGAATAAGCTTTAAAATGATATACAGCTTTTGGGGTTTGGTGTTCAAAATACATCTGCTATTGCCAGCAGAACATTTAAAAACATAAAAACAGCCGCCGGCGCGCCGGTTGTTGTTAACCCCACTTTGCCCGAAGCCCCCGCTGAAAGGTCAAGGCTATGCTCACACTGACAGAGCAGCCCCCCCCCCCCCCCCCCCCCAGATGGATGGATAATAATAATAATAATAGTAACATGTTTGAAGGGTGTACCTGGATTCCTGGCGCACAGGGACGTGTTGGAGGTCGGTGAGAACCAGGAAGTCGTGGTTAAAGTAATGCAGCTGCAGGATACAGGCCAATAGGAACGCAGCAGGAAGTAGGATCCGAGCAAATAACTCCACTGTGTCATACCGCTCTAGACCCAGGTCCCGGAGTCTGAGAGAGAGTACACCAGTGAGAGAGTACACCAGTGAGAGAGTACACCAGTGAGAGAGTACACCACAGAGAGAGTACACCAGTGAGAGAGTACACCACAGAGAGAGTACACCACAGAAAGAGTACACCACAGAGAGTACACCACAGAGAGAGTACACCACATAGAGAGTACACCAGTGAGAGAGTACACCACAGAGAGAGTACACCAGTGAGAGAGTACACCACAGAGAGAGTACACCAGTGAGAGAGTACACCACAGAGAGAGTACACCAGTGAGAGAGTACACCAGTGAGAGAGTACACCAGTGAGAGAGTACACCAGCGAGAGAGTACACCAGTGAGAGAGTACACCACAGAGAGAGTACACCACAGAGAGAGTACACCACAGAGAGAGTACACCAGTGAGAGAGTACACCAGTGAGAGAGTACACCAGTGAGAGAGTACACCACAGAGAGAGTACACCACAGAGAGAGTACACCAGTGAGAGAGTACACCAGCGAGAGAGTACACCAGTGAGAGAGTACACCACAGAGAGTGTCTCACCCGTCCTCTGACATGTGTGTGTGTGTCTCAACCGTCCTCTGACATGTGTGTGTGTCTCACCCGTCCTCTGACATGTGTGTGTGTGTCTCACCCGTCCTCTGACATGTGTGTGTGTGTGTCTCACCCGTCCTCTGACATGTGTGTGTGTGTCTCACCCGTCCTCTGACATGTGTGTGTGTGTCTCACCCGTCCTCTGACATGTGTGTGTGTGTCTCACCCGTCCTTTGACATGTGTGTGTGTGTGTCTCACCCGTCCTCTGACATGTGTGTGTGTGTCTCACCCGTCCTTTGACATGTGTGTGTGTGTGTCTCACCCGTCCTCTGACATGTGTGTGTGTGTCTCACCCGTCCTCTGACATGTGTGTGTGTGTGTGTCTCACTCGTCCTCTGACATGTGTGTGTGGTGTCTCACCCGTCCTCTGACGTGTGTGTGTCTCACCCGTCCTCTGACATGTGTGTGTGTGTCTGTGTCTCACCCGTCCTCTGACATGTGTGTGTGTGTGTGTCTCACCCGTCCTCTGACATGTGTGTGTGTGTCTCACCCGTCCTCTGACATGTGTGTGTGTGTCTCACCCGTCCTCTGACATGTGTGTGTGTGTCTCACCCGTCCTCTGACATGTGTGTGTGTGTGTCTCACCCGTCCTCTGACATGTGTGTGTGTGTGTGTCTCACCCGTCCTCTGACATGTGTGTGTGTGTGTCTCACCCGTCTTCTGACATGTGTGTGTGTGTCTCACCCGTCCTCTGACATGTGTGTGTGTGTCTCACCCGTCCTCTGACGTGTGTGTGTCTCACCCGTCCTCTGACATGTGTGTGTGTGTCTGTGTCTCACCCGTCCTCTGACATGTGTGTGTGTGTCTCACTCGTCCTCTGACATGTGTGTGTGTGTCTCACCCGTCCTCTGACGTGTGTGTGTCTCACCCGTCCTCTGACATGTGTGTGTGTGTCTGTGTCTCACCCGTCCTCTGACATGTGTGTGTGTGTGTCTCACCCGTCCTCTGACATGTGTGTGTGTGTCTCACCCGTCCTCTGACATGTGTGTGTGTGTGTCTCACCCGTCCTCTGACATGTGTGTGTGTGTCTCACCCGTCCTCTGACATGTGTGTGTGTGTCTCACCCGTCCTCTGACATGTGTGTGTGTGTGTCTCACCCGTCCTCTGACATGTGTGTGTGTGTGTCTCACCCGTCCTCTGACATGTGCGTGTGTGTCTCACCCGTCCTTTGACATGTGTGTGTGTGTCTCACCCGTCCTCTGACATGTGTGTGTGTGTGTCTCACCCGTCCTCTGACATGTGTGTGTGTGTGTCTCACCCGTCCTCTGACATGTGTGTGTGTGTGTCTCACCCGTCCTCTGACATGTGTGTGTGTGTGTCTCACCCGTCCTTTACATGTGTGCGTGTGTGTCTCACCCGTCCTTTGACATGTGCGTGTGTGTCTCACCCGTCCTCTGACATGTGTGTGTGTGTCTGTGTCTCACCCGTCCTCTGACATGTGCGTGTGTGTCTCACCCGTCCTTTGACATGTGTGTGTGTGTCTCACCCGTCCTCTGACATGTGTGTGTGTGTGTCTCACCCGTCCTCTGACATGTGCGTGTGTGTCTCACCCGTCCTTTGACATGTGTGTGTGTGTCTCACCCGTCCTCTGACATGTGTGTGTGTGTGCGTCTCACCCGTCCTCTGACATGTGTGTGTGTGTGTCTCACCCGTCCTTTGACATGTGTGTGTGTGTCTCACCCGTCCTCTGACATGTGTGTGTGTGTGCGTCTCACCCGTCCTCTGACATGTGTGTGTGTGTGTCTCACTCGTCCTCTGACATGTGTGTGTGTGTCTCACCCGTCCTCTGACATGTGTGTGTGTGTGTCTCACTCGTCCTCTGACATGTGTGTGTGTGTCTCACCCGTCCTCTGACATGTGTGTGTGTGTGTCTCACTCGTCCTCTGACATGTGTGTGTGTGTCTCACCTGTCCTCTGACATGTGTGTGTGTGTGTGTGTCTCACCCGTCCTCTGACGTGTGTGTGTGTCTGACCCGTCCTCTGACATGTGTGTGTGTGTGTGTCTCACCCGTCCTCTGACATGTGTGTGTGTGTGTGTGTGTGTGTCTCACCCGTCCTCTGACGTGTGTGTGTGTGTGTCTCACCCGTCCTCTGACGTGTGTGTGTGTCTCACCCGTCCTCTGACATTCCCATGATCTGGCTGAAGAGGGCGCTGACGCTCCTGAACTGATAAAGGTAGATGGCGATGAGCACAAGCATCGAGTATCCCACCACCACCGCCCAGAACCACTTTAAGACACGCCTCCAGACATGGAACCAAGTCTGAGGACACACAATACTACACAATCACTACACAACACTACACAACATCACCGCCCAGAACCACCTTAAGACACGCCTCCAGACAAGGAACCAAGTTTGACGACACACTACACACCGAGTCTGAGGAGACTCCCACACGTGTGACACACACACGTTTCCCACACGTGTCACACACGCATGTCTCTCACACGTGTCACAAACACGTGTCACACGCACACGTCTCTCACACGTGTCACACACACACGTTTCCCACACGTGTCTCACACGCATGTCTCTCACACGTGTCACAAACACGTGTCACACACGTGTCTCACACGCATGTCTCTCACACGTGTCTCACACACACGTCTCCCACACGTGTCACACACGCATGTCTCTCACACGTGTCTCACACACACGTCTTCCACACGTGTCACACACGCATGTCTCTCACACGTGTCTCACACACACGTCTCCCACACGTGTCACACACGCATGTCTCTCACACGTGTCTCACACACACGTCTCCCACACGTGTCACACACGCATGTCTCTCACACGTGTCTCACACACACGTCTCCCACACGTGTCACACACGCATGTCTCTTACACGTGTCTCACACACACGTCTCCCACACGTGTCACACACACGTCTCCCACACGTGTCACACACACATGTCTCCCACACGTGTCACAAACACGTGTCACACGCACGTGTCACACGCACGTCTTCCACACGTGTCACACACACACGTCTCCCACACGTGTCTCACACACACGTCTCCCACACGTGTCACACACACACGTCTCTCACACGTGTCTCACACACATGTCTCCCACACGTGTCACACACACACGTCTCTCACACGTGTCTCACACACACGTCTCCCACACGTGTCTCACACACACGTCTCCCACACGTGTCACACACACACGTCTTTCACACGTGTCTCACACACACGTCTCCCACACGTGTCACACACACATGTCTCCCACACGTGTCTCACACACGTCTCCCACACGTGTCTCACACACGTCTCCCACACGTGTCTCACACACGTCTCCCACACGTGTCACACACGTGTCTGTTGATGTCTCCCACACGTGTCACACACACGTCTCCCACACGTGTGACACACGTGTCTGTTGATGTCTCCCACACGTGTGACACACACACGTTTCCCACACGTGTCACACACACACGTCTCCCACACGTGTCTCACACACATGTCTCACACACACGTCTCTCACACGTGTCTCACACACGTCTCATACACGTGTCACACACGTGTCTGTTGATGTCTCCCACACGTGTCACACACACAGAGAGAATCCAAACCTGGTAGAGGACCACGCAGAAGAGGAACAGCACAATGTAAAGGATCTTGTAGACGACCACCTGAACAAAAGAGTAACATCACATTACTCTGAGAACTAACTTTAGTATTTGGACTACATTCATACTCTGATCATACCCTGATCATACTCTCATCATACCCTGATCATACCCTGATCATACTCTGATCATACCCTGATCATACCCTGATCATACTCTGATTATACTCTGATCATACCCTGATCATACCCTGATCATACCCTGATCATACTTTGATCATACCCTGATCATACCCTGATCATACCCTGATCATACTTTGATCATACCCTGATCATACCCTGGTCATATCCTGATCAAACTCTGATCATACTCTGATCATACTCTGATCATACCCTGATCATACTCTGATCATACCCTGATCATACCCTGATCATACTCTGATCATACCCTGATCATACCCTGATCATACTCTGATCATACCCTGATTATACTCTGATTATACTCTGATCATACCCTGATCATACCCTGATCATACCCTGATCATACCCTGATCATACCCTGATCATACCCTGATCATACTCTGATCATACCCTGATCATACCCTGATCATACTCTGATCATACCCTGATCATACTCTGATCATACCCTGATTATACTCTGATTATACTCTGATCATACCCTGATCATACCCTGATCATACCCTGATCATACCCTGATCATACCCTGATCATACCCTGATCATACTCTGATCATACCCTGATCATACTCTGATCATACCCTGATCATACTCTGATCATACCCTGATCATACCCTGATCATACTCTGATCATACCCTGATCATACTCTGATCATACCCTGATTATACTCTGATTATACTCTGATTATACTCTGATCATACCCTGATCATACCCTGATCATACTCTGATCATACCCTGATTATACTCTGATTATACTCTGATCATACTCTGATGACATCGTACCTTTCCAGAGAAACTGACCACGAAGAACATGGAGCAGCAGAAGAGGATCCAGTATTTGACCAGAGTCCCTTTGGCACCAGAGATCAACATCACCACCAGAGGGGAAGGCGGGCTCTCCTCCTCTGAGGAGCACAGGTACATGTAGGAGAAACTGAAGGGAGCACAGGTACAGGTAGGAGAAACTGAAGGGAGCACAGGTACAGGTAGGAGAGACTGAAGGGAGCACAGGTACAGGTAGGAGAGACTGAAGGGAGCACAGGTACAGGTAGGAGAGACTGAAGGGAGCACAGGTACAGGTAGGAGAGACTGAAGGGAGCACAGGTACATGTAGGAGAGACTGAAGGGAGCACAGGTACAGGTAGGAGAGACTGAAGGGAGCACAGGTACAGGTAGGAGTGACTAAAGCTGACAGTGCGGACAGTTGGACACAGCTGTATTTTTTTGCTGGATGGAGAAAAGCACTGATATAACAGTGATGATGTCAGAGTGATGATGTCAGAGTAATGATGTCATAGTAATGAAGTCAGAGTGATGATGAGTGATGATGTCAGAGTGATGATGTCATAGTAATGATGTCATAGTAATGATGTCAGAGTGATGATGTCATAGTAATGATGTCATAGTAATGATGTCATAGTAATGATGTCAGAGTGATGATGTCATAGTAATGATGTCATAGTAATGATGTCAGAGTGATGATGTCATAGTAATGATGTCAGAGTAATGATGTCATAGTAATGATGTCAGAGTGATGATGTCATAGTAATGATGTCATAGAAATGATGTCATAGTAATGGTGTCAGAGTGATGATGTCATAGTAATGATGTCATAGTAATGATGTCAGAGTGATGATGTCATAGTAATGATGTCATAGTAATTATGTCATAGTAATGAAGTCAGAGTGATGATGTCATAGTAATGAAGTCAGAGTGATGATGTCAGAGTGATGATGTCATAGTAATGAAGTCAGAGTGATGATGTCATAGTAATGATGTCAGAGTGATGATGTCATAGTAATGATGTCATAGTAATGATGTCATAGTAATGATGTCATAGTAATGATGTCAGAGTGATGATGTCATAGTAATGATGTCAGAGTGATGATGTCATAGTCATGATGTCATAGTAATGATGTCATAGTAATGAAGTCAGAGTGATGATGTCAGATATGATGCCATAGTAATGATGTCATAGTAATGATGTCAGAGTGATGATGCCATAGTAATGATGTCAGAGTGATGATGTCATAGTAATGATGTCATAGTAATGATGTCATAGTAATGATGTCAGAGTGATGATGTCAGCGTGATGAAGTCAGAGTGATGATGTCGTAGTAATGATGTCAGAGTGATGATGTCATAGTAATGATGTCAGTGATGATGTCAGAGTGATGATGTCAGAGTGATGATGTCAGAGTGATGATGTCATAGAAGTGATGTCATAGTAATGATGTCAGAGTGATTATGTCAGAGTAATGATGTCATAGTAATTATGTCATAGAAGCGTTGTCATAGTAATGATGTCATAGTAATGATGTCAGAGTGATGATGTCAGAGTGATGACGTCATAGAAGTGATGTCATAGTAATACTGTAAAGTACCTGAGGTCACTTTGATTTGGTCCAAAGACTCGACTTTCAGACTCTGGGCCTCAGCTCTCTCCTTCAGCTGCTGCCGAAACATCAGCCAGAAGCTGAAGCAGTAGAGGACCTGCACAAGACACACACACTGAACACACAGACACACCGGACGGACACACACACTAAACACACACACACTGAACACACTAAACACACAGACACACTGGCCACACTGGCCAGGACTCCCTTGAAAAAGAGATTCTTAATCTCAATGGGATTTTTCCCGGTTAAATAAAGGTTAAATAAAAAATAAATAAAAACACACCCTAAACAAACACACATACACACCAAACACACACACACACACTAAACAAACAGACACACACACTAAACACAAACACACACACTAAACAAACAGACACACACACTAAACACAAACACTAAACAAACAGACACACATACTAAACAAACACACATACACACTAAACACACACACTAAACAAACAGACACACACACTAAACACACACACACACACACACTAAACAAACAGACACACACACTAAACACACACACACACACTAAACAAACAGACACTAAACAAACAGACACACACACTAAACACAGACACACACTAAACAAACAGACACACACACTAAACAAACACACATACACACTAAACAAACAGACACACACACTAAACACACACACACTAAACAAACAGACACACACACTAAACAAACACACATACACACTAAACAAACAGACACACACACTAAACACACACACACACACACAGCAAACAGACACACACACTAAACAAACACACATACACACTAAACAAACACACACACACTAAACACACACACACACACACTAAACAAACAGACACACACACTAAACACACACACACACTAAACAAACAGACACACACACTAAAACACACACACACACACTAAACAAACAGACACACACACTAAACACACACACACACACTAAACAAACAGACACACACAGTAAACACACACACACACACACAGCAAACAGACACACACACTAAACAAACACACATACACACTAAACAAACACACACACACTAAACACACACACACACACACTAAACAAACAGACACACACACTAAACACACACACACACTAAACAAACAGACACACACACTAAACACACACACACACACACTAAACAAACAGACACACACACTAAACACACACACACACACTAAACAAACAGACACACACAGTAAACACACACACACACACACACTAAACAAACAGACACTAAACAAACAGACACACACACTAAACACAGACACACACTAAACAAACAGACACACACACTAAACAAACACACATACACACTAAACAAACAGACACACACACTAAACACACACTAAACAAACAGACACTAAACAAACAGACACACACACTAAACACAGACACACACTAAACAAACAGACACACACACTAAACAAACACACATACACACTAAACAAACACACATACACACTAAACAAACAGACACACACACTAAACACACACTAAACAAACAGACACACACACTAAACAAACACACATACACACTAAACAAACAGACACACACACTAAACAAACACACGTGTACACCAAACACACACACTGAACAGGTAGGAGAAACTGAAGGGAGCAAAGGTAGAGTGTGACCTCTGACCCCAGGTGTGTGTGACCTCTGCCCCCAGGTGAGACCTCTGACCCCAGGTGTGACCTCTGACCCCAGGTGTAACCTCTGACCCAGGTGTGACCTCTGACCCCAGGTGTGACCTCTGACCTCAGGTGTAACCTCTGACCCCAGGTGTGTGTGACCTCTGACCCCAGGTGTAACCTCTGTCCCCAGGTGTGTGTGACCTCTGACTCCAGCAGTGTGTGACCTCTGCCCCCAGGTGTGACCTCTGACCTCTGACCCCAGGAGTAACTTCTGACCTCCGACCCCAGGTGTAACCTCTGACCCCAGGTGTGACCCCTGACCTTTGCCCCCAGGTGTGACCTCTGACCCCAGGTGTGACCTCTGACCTTGGCCCCCAGGTGCAGGCAGGGTGCAGGGTGGTAGCTGTGGAGGTCGAGGTCCTGGACCAGGGCCGGGGTCAGAGCCGGGAGCAGCTCAGAGCGACTCAGACGCAGAGAACTGAAGAAGCTCAGGACGAGGAGCGCCGTGCCGTACGCGGCCAACACCGGCGCCGACATCATGGCGTATGCCCGACGGTCACGCAGCGTCCAGATCACACACGACCACAGCAGCAGCAGGAAGGTCAGCCAACTGTTATAGGTGATGCTCCACATCTGAAAGCACCAGGAGAACACCAGCTGTCATGGTGACCAGGACCATGTGTGTGTGTGACCAGGACCATGTGTGTGTGTGACCAGGACCATGTGTGTGTGTGACCAGGACCATGTGTGTATGTGACCAGGACCATGTGTGTATGTGACCAGGACCATGTGTGTATGTGACCAGGACCATGTGTGTGTGTGACCAGGACCATGTGTGCGTGTGACCAGGACCATGTGTGTATGTGACCAGGACCATGTGTGTATGTGACCAGGACCATGTGTGCGTGACCAGGACCAAGTGTTTGTGACCAGGACCATGTGTGTGTGTGACCAGGACCATGTGTGTGTATGTGACCAGGACCATGTGTGTATGTGACCAGGACCATGTGTGTGTGTGACCAGGACCATGTGTGTATGTGACCAGGACCATGTGTGTATGTGACCAGGACCATGTGTGTGTGTGAGCAGGACCATGTGTGTATGTGAGCAGGACCATGTGTGTTGTATGTGACCAGGACCATGTGTGTGTGACCAGGACCATGTGTATGTGACCAGGACCATGTGTGTGTGTGACCAGGACCATGTGTGTATGTGACCAGGACCATGTGTGTGTGTGACCAGGACCATGTGTGTGTATGTGACCAGGACCATGTGTGTGTATGTGACCAGGACCATGTGTGTGTATGTGACCAGGATCATGTGTGTGTATGTGACCAGGACTATGTGTGTTTGTGACCAGGACCATGTGTGTGTATGTGACCAGGACCATGTGTGTGTATGTGACCAGGACCATGTGTGTGTGTGACCAGGACCATGTGTGTGTGTGACCAGGACCATGTGTGTGTATGTGACCAGGACCATGTGTGTATGTGACCAGGACCATGTGTGTGTGTGACCAGGACCATGTGTGTATGTGACCAGGACCATGTGTGTATGTGACCAGGACCATGTGTGTGTGTGAGCAGGACCATGTGTGTATGTGAGCAGGACCATGTGTGTGTATGACCAAGAAGAATATGCAGTTACCATCATGATGATGAGAGCGCTGACATAGCTGTGTTTCTGCACCAGTCGCCCAAACACCACCAGCCCACTGGGACCTGAGGGAGGGGCTGAGGGAGGGGCTGAGGGAGGGGCTGAGGGAGGGGCAGAGGGAGGGGCAGAGGGAGGGGCAGAGGGAGGGGCAGAGGGAGGGGCTGAGGGAGGGGCAGAGGGAGGGGCAGAGGGAGGGGCAGAGGGAGGGGCAGAGGGAGGGGCTGAGGGAGGTGCTGAGGGAGGGGCAGAGGGAGGGGCTGAGGGAGGGCCTGAGAGAGGGGCTGAGGGAGGGGCAGAGGGAGGGGCAGAGGGAGGGGCAGAGGGAGGGGCTGAGGGAGGGCCTGAGGGAGGGGCTGAGGGAGGGGCTGAGGGAGGGGCTGAGGGAGGGGCTGAGGGAGGGGCTGAGGGAGGGCCTGAGGGAGGGGCTGAGGGAGGGGCTGAGGGAGGGGCTGAGGGAGGGCCTGAGGGAGGGCCTGAGGGAGGGGCTGAGGGAGGGGCTGAGAGAGGGGCTGAGGGAGGGGCTGAGGGAGGGGCTGAGGCGGAGGCTGAGGTCTGCTTCCTCTCACCCATGTCGTATTCACAGATACTTTCTAGAGGTATAAACACACAGTTATGAACACACACACACACACAGGTACAAACACACACACACAGGTACAAACACACACACACAGGTACAAACACAGACACACAGGTACAAACACACACACACAGATACAAACACACACACACAGGTACAAACACACACACACAGGTACAAACACACACACACAGGTACAAACACACACACACAGGTACAAACACACACACACAGGTACAAACACACACACACAGGTACAAACACAGACACACAGGTACAAACACACACACACAGGTACAAACACACACACACAGGTACAAACACACACACACAGGTACAAACACAGACGCACAGATACAAACACAGACACACACAGGTACAAACACACACACACAGGTACAAACACACACACACAGGTACAAACACACACACACAGGTACAAACACACACACACAGGTACAAACACACACACACAGTACAAACACAGACGCACAGATACAAACACACACACACAGGTACAAACACACACACACAGGTACAAACACAGACACACAGGTACAAACACACACACACAGGTACAAACACACACACACAGGTACAAACACACACACACAGGTACAAACACAGACGCACAGATACAAACACAGACACACACAGGTACAAACACACACACACAGGTACAAACACAGACGCACAGATACAAACACAGACACACAGGTACAAACACACACACACAGGTACAAACACACACACACAGGTACAAACACACACACACAGGTACAAACACACACACACAGGTACAAACACACACACACAGGTACAAACACAGACGCACAGATACAAACACAGACACACACAGGTACAAACACACACACACAGGTACAAACACAGACGCACAGATACAAACACAGACACACAGGTACAAACACACACACACAGGTACAAACACACACACACAGGTACAAACACACACACACAGGTACAAACACACACACACACAGTACAACACACACACACACAGGTACAAACACACACACACAGGTACAAACACAGACGCACAGATACAAACACACACACACAGGTACAAACACAGACGCACAGATACAAACACAGACACACAGGTACAAACACACACACACAGGTACAAACACACACACACAGGTACAAACACACACACACAGGTACAAACACACACACACAGGTACAAACACAGACGCACAGATACAAACACAGACACACACAGGTACAAACACACACACACAGGTACAAACACAGACGCACAGATACAAACACAGACACACAGGTACAAACACACACACACAGGTACAAACACACACACACAGGTACAAACACACACACACAGGTACAAACACACACACACAGGTACAAACACAGACACACAGATACAAACACAGACACACAGGTACAAACACACACACACAGGTACAAACGCAGACACACACAGGTACAAACACACACACACAGGTACAAACACACACACACAGGTACAAACACACACACACACAGGTACAAACACACACACACAGGTACAAACACAGACACACACAGGTACAAACACACACACACAGGTACAAACACACACACACAGGTACAAAACACAGACACACACAGGTACAAACACACACACACAGGTACAAACACACACACAGGTACAAACACAGACACACAGATACAAACACACACACACAGGTACAAACACAGACACACAGGTACAAACACACACACACAGGTACAAACACAGACGCACAGATACAAACACAGACGCACAGATACAAACACAGACACACACAGGTACAAACACAGACGCACAGATACAAACACAGACACACAGGTACAAACACAGACACACAGGTACAAACACACACACACAGGTACAAACACACACACACAGGTACAAACACACACACACAGGTACAAACACACACACACAGGTACAAACACAGACACACAGATACAAACACAGACACACAGGTACAAACACACACACACAGGTACAAACACACACACACAGGTACAAACACACACACACAGGTACAAACACACACACACACAGGTACAAACACACACACACAGGTACAAACACAGACACACACAGGTACAAACACACACACACAGGTACAAACACACACACACAGTGACAAACACACACACACACAGGTACAAACACACACACACAGGTACAAACACAGACACACACACAGGTACAAACACAGACACACACAGGTACAAACACACACACAGGTACAAACACACACACACAGGTACAAACACACACACACACAGGTACAAACACACACACACAGGTACAAACACAGACACACAGATACAAACACACACACACAGGTACAAACACAGACACACAGGTACAAACACACACACACAGGTACAAACACAGACGCACAGATACAAACACAGACACACACAGGTACAAACACACACACACAGGTACAAACACAGACGCACAGATACAAACACAGACACACACAGGTACAAACACACACACACAGGTACAAACACAGACGCACAGATACAAACACAGACACACACAGGTACAAACACACACACACAGGTACAAACACAGACGCACAGATACAAACACAGACACACACAGGTACAAACACACACACACACACAGGTACAAACACAGACGCACAGATACAAACACACACACACAGGTACAACACACAGGTACAAACACACACAGGTACAAACACAGACGCACAGATACAAACACAGACACACACACAGGTACAAACACACACACACAGGTACAAACACAGACGCACAGATACAAACACAGACGCACAGGTACAAACACGCACACACACAGGTACAAACACACACACACACACAGGTACAAACACACACACAGGTACAAACACAGACGCACAGGTACAAACACAAACACACAGGTACAAACACACACAGTTATATACACACACACACACACAGGTACAAACACAGACGCACAGGTACAAACACAGACGCACAGGTACAAACACACACACACACACAGGTACAAACACACACACAGGTACAAACACAGACACACAGGTACAAACACACACAGTTATGAACACACACACACAGGTATATATCAGTGGGGGCGGGTCCCGGCTCAAAAGTGGCCAAAATGACATGCGCTGACATGCTGCAGTACCACCCCGGGCCTGTGGGGGTGGACCCTGACATGCTGCAGTACCACCCCGGGCCTGTGGGGGTGGACCCTGACATGCTGCAGTACCACCCCGGGCCTGTGGGGGTGGACCCTGACATGCTGCAGTACCACCCCGGGCCTGTGGGGGTGGACCCTGACATGCTGCAGTACCACCCCGGGCCTGTGGGGGTGGACCCTGACATGCTGCAGTACCACCCCGGGCCTGTGGGGGTGGACCCTGACATGCTGCAGTACCACCCCGGGCCTGTGGGGGTGGACCCTGACATGCTGCAGTACCACCCCGGGCCTGTGGGGGTGGACCCTGACATGCTGCAGTACCACCCCGGGCCTGTGGGGGTGGACCCTGACATGCTGCAGTACCACCCCGGGCCTGTGGGGGTGGACCCGGAATAAGAATTAGCCAATGCTAACATATAGCATCTTCTTACCTCTGGAAAACGTCTTTACAGGATGGTCCAGTGTCTCTTGGCCCAAAGCTCCGTTCCACATGTGTGTCAATGCTGAGGGTTCTGGACCAGTCTAGTTTAGTCGCTGCGGACTTTAGAAGTCTCTCATTTAAATGAATGGGGCTCGTGCAGCTGACGCACAGATGTGTTTTTTCCATAGACTGTATATAATAACGGACAGAGTCAGTATCTCCGTCGTTCATAGGAGTTGGCCATGAAAAGTGCTCTCATGGAGCAATCCAAGATGGCCGCGAGTGGTCCCGCCCACAAGAAAATTGTGGAAAAACACATCTGTGCAGCGTCAGCCGGAGAGAGCTCCTTTCATTTGAACGAGAGACTTCTAAAGTCCACAGCGACTAAACTAGACTGGTCCAGAACCCTCAGCATTGACACACATGTGGAACGGAGCTTTGGGCCAAGAGACACTGGACCATCCTGTAAAGACGTTTTCCAGAGGTAAGAAGATGCTATATGTTAGCATTGGCTAATTCTTATTCCGGGTCCACCCCCACAGGCCCGGGGTGGTACTGCAGCATGTCAGGGTCCACCCCCACAGGCCCGGGGTGGTACTGCAGCATGTCAGAGTCCACCCCCACAGGCCCGGGGTGGTACTGCAGCATGTCAGGGTCCACCCCCACAGGCCCGGGGTGGTACTGCAGCATGTCAGGGTCCACCCCCACAGGCCCGGGGTGGTACTGCAGCATGTCAGGGTCCACCCCCACAGGCCCGGGGTGGTACTGCAGCATGTCAGGGTCCACCCCCACAGGCCCGGGGTGGTACTGCAGCATGTCAGGGTCCACCCCCACAGGCCCGGGGTGGTACTGCAGCATGTCAGGGTCCACCCCCACAGGCCCGGGGTGGTACTGCAGCATGTCAGGGTCCACCCCCACAGGCCCGGGGTGGTACTGCAGCATGTCAGGGTCCACCCCCACAGGCCCGGGGTGGTACTGCAGCATGTCAGCGCACGTCATTTAGGACACTTTTGAGCCGGGACCCTCCCACACTGGTTTTTTCAGATTTTTCAGCCCCCGCGGCCATTTTGAATCACTCCATGACAGCCCAAGTTTTGGCTCATTAGTTAGAACGGCGGAGATAGGCCTGACTACGTCTGTTAATATAAACAGTCTATGACACACACACACACACACACACACACACACAGGTACAAACAGGTACAAACACACACACACAGGTACAAACACACACACACAGGAATAAACAGACAAAAACACACACACACACACACAGGTATAAACATGTACACACAGGTACAAACACACACACACAGGTATAAACAAACAGACACAGGTATAAACAGACAAACACACACACAGGTATAAACATGTACAAACACACACACACAGGTATAAACACAAACACACACACACACACACACACACAGGCATAAACAGGTTCAAACACACACACACACACACACACAGGTTCAAACACACACACACACACACACACACACAGGTTCAAACACACACACACACACACACACGTATAAAAACACACACACACAGGTATAAACACACACACACACACACACCTCTCTCCTCACCGTTGGAGTGTGTGTCTTCGTACAGTGGTGGTGTGTAGCAGTTTGTGTACCCAGCTCCCCCCAACAGAGAGTGGTTCTGCTGAGTCCAGGAGGAGGTGAGGAGGAAAGCAGGCTGTGGAGGATGTGAAGAGGAGGAGGTGAGGAGGAGGTGAGGACGAGGAAAGGAACAGAGGAGGAGGAGAGCAGCGGAAGTGAGGTGGAGGCGAGGTGATGAGGAGGTGAGGAGAGGAGGAGGTGAGGAGAACAGAGAAGGTGAGGAGGAGGTGAGGAGAAGAGAGGAGGTGAGGAGAGCAGAGAAGGTGAGGAGGAGGTGAGGAGAACAGAGAAGGTGAGGAGGAGGTGAGGAGAAGAGAGGAGGTGAGGAGAGCAGAGAAGGTGAGGAGGAGGTGAGGAGAACAGAGAAGGTGAGGAGGAGGTGAGGAGAAGAGAGTAAGTAAGTAGTAAGTAAGTATTTATTTATATACCGCCTTTTCACTGCAGATCTGAGTCTCAAAGCGGTTTACAATTGTTAATTTTGGGCATTTGTCTCTCACTCCACACAGAGATGGGAGCGGGGCCAGTACAGGAGGCGCATGCCAGAACTATTGGACATATTTTTAGTGGTAGGGGAAACCGGAGTACCCGGAGGAAACCTACGCAGACATGGGGAGAACATGCAAACTCCACTCAGAAAGGCCCTGGTCCGACCGGGATTCGAACCCAGGACCTTCTTGCTGAGAGGCAAGAGTGCTATCCACTCAGCCACCGTGCCGCGGTGAAGAGAGAAGGTGAGGTGAACAGAGGAGGAGGAGAGGAGAGCAGAGGAGGTAAGGAGAGCAGATGAGGTGAGGAAAGCAGATGAAGTGAGGAGGAGAGGAGGTGAGGAGAGCAGAGGAGTAGAGAAGGAGGAGGTGAGGAGAGCAGAGGAGTAGAGAAGGAGGAGGTGAGGAGAACAGAGAAGATGAGGAGGTGAGGTGAACAGAGGAGTAGAGGAGGAGGTGAGGATAGCAGAGGAGGAGGAGAGGAGAGCAGAGGAGGTGAGGAAAGCAGATGAAGTGAGGAGAGCAGAGGAGGCGAGGAGAGCAGAGGGGGTGAGGAGAGCAGAGGAGGTCAGTAGGAGGCCAGGTGATGAGGAGGTGAGGACGTGGAAAGGAGGAGAGGAGGAGGAGAGCAGCGGAAGTGAGGAGGTGAGAAGAGCAGAGGAGGTGAGGTGAACAGAGGAGTAGAGAAGGAGGTGAGGAGAGCAGAGGGGGTGAGGAGAGCAGATGAAGTGAGGAGGAGGAGGAGGCGAGGAGAGCAGAGGAGGTGAGGAGAGCAGATGAAGTGAGGAGGAGGAGGAGGCGAGGAGAGCAGAGGAGGTGAGGAGAGCAGATGAAGTGAGGAGGAGGCGAGGAGAGCAGAGGAGGCGAGGAGAGCAGAGGAGGCGAGGAGAGCAGAGGAGGTGAGGAGAACAGAGGAGGTGAGGAGGAGCAGAGGAGGTGAGGAGAGAAGATGAGGTGAGGAGAGCAGAGGAGGTGAGGAGGAGCAGAGGAGGTGAGGAGGAGCAGAGGAGGTGAGGAGAGAAGATGAGGTGAGGAGAGCAGATGAGGTGAGGAGAGCAGATGAGGTGAGGAGGAGCAGAGGAGGTGAGGAGGAGCAGATGAGGTGAGGAGAGCAGATGAGGTGAGGAGAGCAGATGAGGTGAGGAGAGCAGAGGGGGTAAGGAGAGCAGAGGAGGTGAGGAGGAGCAGAGGAGGTGAGGAGGAGCAGAGGAGGTGAGGAGGAGAGGAGAGCAGATGAGGTGAGGAGAGCAGAGGGGGTAAGGAGAGCAGAGGAGGTGAGGAGGAGCAGAGGAGGAGGAGAGGAGAGCAGATGAGGTGAGGAGGAGAGGAGGCGAGGAGAGCAGAGGAGGTGAGGAGAGCAGAGGGGGTGAGGAGGAGCAGAGGAGGTGAGGAGAGCAGAGGGGGTAAGGAGAGCAGAGGAGGTGAGGAGGAGCAGAGGAGGTGAGGAGAGAAGATGAGGTGAGGAGGAGAGGAGGCGAGGAGAGCAGAGGGGGTGAGGAGAGCAGAGGAGGTGAGGAGAGCAGAGGGGGTAAGGAGAGCAGAGGAGGTGAGGAGGAGCAGAGGAGGTGAGGAGAGAAGATGAGGTGAGGGAAGCAGATGAAGTGAGGAGGAGGAGGAGAGCAGAGGAGGTGAGAAGAGCAGAGGAGGTAAGGAGAGCAGAGGGGGTAAGGAGAGCAGAGGAGGCGAGGAGAGCAGAGGAGGTGAGGAGAGCAGATGAGGTGAGGAGAGCAGAGGGGGTAAGGAGAGCAGAGGAGGTGAGGAGGAGCAGAGGAGGTGAGGAGAGAAGAGGAGGTGAGGAAAGCAGATGAAGTGAGGAGAGCAGATGAAGTGAGGAGGAGGAGGAGGCGAGGAGAGCAGAGGAGGTGAAAAGGAGCAGAGAAGGTGAGGAGGAGGTGAGGAGGGGCAGAGGAGGTGAGGAGAGCAGAGGGGGTGAGGAGAGCAGAGGAGGCGAGGAGAGCAGAGGAGGTGAGGAAAGCAGATGAAGTGAGGAGGAGAGGAGGCGAGGAGAGCAGAGGGGGTGAGGAGAGCGGAGGAGGCGAGGAGAGCAGAGGGGGTGAGGAGAGCAGAGGGGGTAAGGAGAGCAGAGGAGGTGAGGAGAGCAGAGGTGGTGAGGAGAGCAGAGGAGGTGAGGAGGAGCAGAGGAGGTGAGGAGAAGTAGAGGAGGTGAGGAGGAGCAGAGAAGGTGAGGAGGAGCAGAGGAGGTGAAAAGGAGCAGAGAAGGTGAGGAGGAGGTGAGGAGGGGCAGAGGAGGTGAGGAGAGCAGAGGAGGAGGTGAGGAAGAGGCGAGGAGAGCAGAGGAGGTGAGGAGGAGCAGAGAAGGAGGTGAGGAAGAGGTGAGGAAGAGGCTAGGAGAGCAGAGGAGGAGCAGAGGAGGTGAGGAGGAGCAGAGAAGGTGAGGAGGAGTAGAGGAGGAGCAGAGGAGGTGAGTCGGTGGCACCTCATCAGGAAGATACGTGTCTTCATCCGTGCTGCTCAGAAGCTACAAGGAAGAAACCATTAATTGGTCCTGGGTCTACGGCCTCAGTCCTGGTCTACGGCCTCAGTCCTGGTCTACGGCCTCAGTCCTGGTCTACGGCCTCAGTCCTGGTCTACGGCCTCAGTCCTGGGTCTACGGCCTCAGTCCTGGTCTACGGCCTCAGTCCTGGTCTACGGCCTCAGTCCTGGGTCTACGGCCTCAGTCCTGGGTCTACGGCCTCAGTCCTGGATCTACAGCCTCAGTCCTGGGTATACAGCCTCAGTCCTGGGTCTACAGCCTCAGTCCTGGTCTACGGCCTCAGTCCTGGGTCTACTGCCTCAGTCCTGGGTCTACTGCCTCAGTCCTGGGTCTACGGCCTCAGTCCTGGGTCTACGGCCTCAGTCCTGGGTCTACGGCCTCAGTCCTGGTCTACGGCCTCAGTCCTTGGTCTACGGCCTCAGTCCTGGGTCTACGGCCTCAGTCCTGGGTCTACGGCCTCAGTCCTGGATCTACGGCCTCAGTCCTGGGTATACAGCCTCAGTCCTGGGTCTACAGCCTCAGTCCTGGTCTACGGCCTCAGTCCTGGGTCTACTGCCTCAGTCCTGGGTCTACTGCCTCAGTCCTGGGTCTACGGCCTCAGTCCTGGGTCTACGGCCTCAGTCCTGGGTCTACGGCCTCAGTCCTGGGTCTACGGCCTCAGTCCTGGATCTACAACCTCAGTCCTGGGTCTACGGCCTCAGTCCTGGGTCTACGGCCTCAGTCCTGGGTCTACGGCCTCAGTCCTGGATCTACAGCCTCAGTCCTGGGTCTACAGCCTCAGTCCTGGGTCTACAGCCTCAGTCCTGGTCTACGGCCTCAGTCCTGGGTCTACAGCCTCAGTCCTGGGTCTACAGCCTCAGTCCTGGGTCTACAGCCTCAGTCCTGGGTCTACGGCCTCAGTCCTGGGTCTACTGCCTCAGTCCTGGGTCTACGGCCTCAGTCCTGGGTCTACGGCCTCAGTCCTGGGTCTACTGCCTCAGTCCTGGGTCTACAGCCTCAGTCCTGGGTCTACGGCCTCAGTCCTGGGTCTACGGCCTCAGTCCTGGGTCTACAGCCTCAGTCCTGGGTCTACAGCCTCAGTCCTGGGTCTACGGCCTCAGTCCTGGGTCTACGGCCTCAGTCCTGGGTCTACAGCCTCAGTCCTGGTCTACGGCCTCAGTCCTGGGTCTACGGCCTCAGTCCTGACCTCCTGTTGGTCTCCTGTGATGTAGATGACTCTGGAGAAACTGGGCGGGAGGTCAGGGCTCTCCACTGGACTCTCTTCTGCCGCTTCATCCAGATCCTGCAGAAGAACAGCTCTAAGTCAAACCTGCCAACTCCATCTAATGCCCTGAGTTAGACAGACCATAGAGCTACAGACCATAGAGCTGCAGACCATAGAGCTGCAGACCATAGAGCTACAGACCATAGAGCTGCAGACCATAGAGCTGCAGACCATAGAGCTACAGACCATAGAGCTACAGACCATAGAGCTGCAGACCATAGAGCTGCAGACCATAGAGCTGCAGACCATAGAGCTACAGACCATAGAGCTGCAGACCATAGAGCTACAGACCATAGAGCTGCAGACCATAGAGCTGCAGACCATAGAGCTACAGACCATAGAGCTGCAGACCATAGAGCTGCAGACCATAGAGAAACAGACCATAGAGCTGCAGACCATAGAGCTACAGACCATAGAGCTGCAGACCATAGAGCTGCAGACCATAGAGCTGCAGACCATAGAGAAACAGACCATAGAGCTACAGACCATAGAGCTGCAGACCATAGAGCTACAGACCATAGAGCTGCAGACCATAGAGCTACAGACCATAGAGCTGCAGACCATAGAGCTGCAGACCATAGAGCTACAGACCATAGAGCTGCAGACCATAGAGCTGCAGACCATAGAGCTGCAGACCATAGAGCTGCAGACCATAGAGCTACAGACCATAGAGCAACAGACCATAGAGCTACAGACCATAGAGCTGCAGACCATAGAGCAACAGACCATAGAGCAACAGACCATAGAGCTGCAGACCATAGAGCTACAGACCATAGAGCAACAGACCATAGAGCTGCAGACCATAGAGAAACAGACCATAGAGCTACAGACCATAGAGCAACAGACCATAGAGCTGCAGACCATAGAGCTGCAGACCATAGAGAAACAGACCATAGAGCTGCAGACCATAGAGCTGCAGACCATAGAGCTGCAGACCAAAGAGCTACAGACCAAAGAGCTACAGACCATAGAGCTACAGACCATAGAGCTGCAGACCATAGAGCAACAGACCATAGAGCAACAGACCATAGAGCTGCAGACCAAAGAGCTACAGACCATAGAGCTACAGACCATAGAGCTGCAGACCATAGAGCTACAGACCATAGAGCTGCAGACCATAGAGCTGCAGACCATAGAGAAACAGACCATAGAGCTACAGACCATAGAGCAACAGACCATAGAGCTGCAGACCAAAGAGCTACAGACCATAGAGCTACAGACCATAGAGCTGCAGACCATAGAGCTGCAGACCATAGAGAAACAGACCATAGAGCTGCAGACCATAGAGCTACAGACCAAAGAGCTACAGACCATAGAGCTACAGACCATAGAGCTGCAGACCATAGAGCTGCAGACCATAGAGCTACAGACCATAGAGCTGCAGACCATAGAGCAACAGACCATAGAGCTGCAGACCAAAGAGCTACAGACCATAGAGCTACAGACCATAGAGCTGCAGACCATAGAGCTGCAGACCATAGAGAAACAGACCATAGAGCTACAGACCATAGAGCAACAGACCATAGAGCTGCAGACCAAAGAGCTACAGACCATAGAGCTACAGACCATAGAGCTGCAGACCATAGAGCTGCAGACCATAGAGAAACAGACCATAGAGCTACAGACCATAGAGCTGCAGACCATAGAGCTACAGACCATAGAGCTGCAGACCATAGAGCTACAGACCATAGAGCTGCAGACCATAGAGCTGCAGACCATAGAGCTACAGACCATAGAGCTGCAGACCAAAGAGCTGCAGACCATAGAGCTGCAGACCATAGAGCTACAGCCCATAGAGCTGCAGACCATAGAGCTGCAGACCATAGAGCTGCAGACCATAGAGCTGCAGACCATGTCTAAGATTAAGAGATCCTTTATTTGTCCCACAGTGGGGACATTTCAGAGGTTAATGTCTGTGTCTGTGTGTGTTTACCTCTGTGGGGACATGGACCCACTTGTGTCTGTGTGTGTGTTTACCTCTGTGGGGACATGGACCCACTTGTGTCTGTGTGTGTGTGTTTACCTCTGTGGGGACGTAGACCCACTTGGGTGTGTGTGTGTGTGTGTACCTCTGACCTGGACCCACTTGTCTCTGTGTGTATGTGTGTGTGTACCTCTGTGGGGACGTGGACCCACTTGTGTGTGTAACTCTGTGAGGCATGGACTCACATGTTTGTGTGTGATCCTTCTGAAGTGAACCCACTTGTCTGTGTGTGTGTGTGTGTACCTCTGTGGGGACGTGGACCCACTTGTCTGTGTGTGTGTGTGTGTGTGTGTACCTCTGTGGGGACGTGGACTCACATGTTTGTGTGTGTACCTCTGACGTGAACCCACTTGTCTGTGTGTGTGTGTGTGCGTGTACCTCTGTGGGGACGTGGACCCACTTGTCTGTGTGTGTGTGTGTTTATCTCTGTGGGGACGTGGACCAATGTTCCCTCAGATTTTTCATGGGTCAGGGCAAAAACCATTTTGAAAACCATTCACATTTGGATACACCTCCTGTATACTATGATTCGGTTCCATATTCACCTGATCATTATTCAAATGAGTCTTTTATAGATGGTGAATTAAAGTAGATTGAGGAATATTTGGTGAATAGCACTAAAAACATCAAAAATGGATTTTGTCTATTCATATCTAATATAGACTACTTAGAGCAGTGGTTCTCAAACTTTTTACACCAAGTACCCCCTCAGAAAATACTTGCCTCTCCAAGTACCACCACAAATGGCCAACACCGCACAGCAGCGTAGTAAGCCTAAGTATTCATCAAATACAAGGCAGAGGTTTCATTCCTAAAGAAGCTTTTGTATATGCTGCTCCTTCTACATGGAACGTGTTGCAAAAAGACTGGAAAAGATCTGACTGTATTTCATTCAATATTTTCAGATCCAGATTGAGAGCACTTGAGACATCTTCAGTGAAATGTAACTGATTTTATAATCAGTAATTTTATGAAATTGTATGTGACTGTTTTATAATCTGTATGTAACTATTTTATAATCTGTATGTAACTATTTTATAATCTGTAATTGTATGTAATTTTTGTACAGGACTCCCTTGAAAAAGGAGCTCTCATTGACTGCCAGCCATTTTTGATGACTTCACTGATTTTCAAGACTCACAGAATATTGTGTGCTATGAAAAATATGAAACCAGAGTCTGAAAGACAGGACTGTCTACTTTCAGCAGCAAAAAGAGTTGTTTTTAGCTTGTTTCGTTCTCCTGTGATCTCCAGTCGAAAAGAGGAGAGTGTGACAAAAAGGAAAACAGACAAACCTGCAGAAAAAGGACTGTAACACTATTTAATTTAACTTTAGCCTCTCCTCAAACATGTCCAGGATCATACATGTTAGAAAACACTTTAGTCTCAAACATGTCCAGGATCATACATGTTAGAAAACACTTTAGTCTCAAACATGTCCAGGATCATACATGTTAGAAAACAGCAATAACACGTTATGAGAAAGTGTTTTTGATGCAAAATAATATGTTTCATGGCACACACACAGCCACAAAGTGTTGCTCAAATATTTCAAAATGTACTCATCCAAAAAACGTCTTCATTTACATATTGAAAGTAGAGCCCATGACAATCTATCCCGTACAGAAGGACCAGTATTCATCCATTAGGTGGCGCTATATTTATGTCAATAAGAGTAAATCAGAGATAAGCAAAATTGCAATGATAAACACTATAAATGACAATAAATCAAAGTGAACAGACAATATACTTATACTATAAGTGCAATAGAATACTGTTGTGTGTCTTTGTATGTGTGTGTATGTATGTGCGTTCCACATGGTCTGTGTCAGCTCTGGAGACACATTTACTGCTCAAACCGCCTCCAAATGTAGGCAGTTTCTCCTACTCAGAGTGCTCAGGCAGTGATCTTTGACCAAGACACCCACAGAGCTCTGCTGCCACCTGCTGGCTTAATAAAATACTGTCTACAGCCAATCCCCAAACATATGATACACAGACGGACAGGAAAAGACTGAAAAACAATGTTGAAGTCAATTGATGTCAATGACAATGAGTAAATCTCAATGGTACTTTCCTGGTTAAATAAAACTTTTTTTCAGTGATTCTTTGGCGTACCTAGAGGGAGCCCCGCGTACCCCACTTTGAGAACCACTGACTTGGAGTATATTAATACACGGTTTTATTTAGTCATATGGCATTATAAAATAAAACCCAAAGACCTAGAATTATCTCAGATAATAATAGTCCAGGGGTTAAAGCAAAAAAAAAAAAGATTTGACAGAAAATTTTCTGATGGAAATTTATCATGATTATCATCATTTATGTTGTAAATCACAGTCATATGCAGGACCAAGTTATATTCTTAATTATAATAATAACGGCTTATTAACCGAGCGCGAGGTCTGTATGGAGATATATCAGACCGAGGCTTAATGCACAGACCGAGCCGTGGCGAGGTCTGTGCAAAAAGGCCAAGGTCTGATATTTCTCTGCACAGACAGAGAAAGCGAGGTTAATAAATGTTTTATTATATGACTCTCGTCTGTGTCTTTACCAATGCTTTTGAGATATTTGTGAAGTATGTTCACGTCCGACTTGGTTTTGTGTGATACGGGCTGTGGACAGATTGTCATGGTAACGGTCCATGGAAAGATATCAAATGGGATACGCGCTGTTCGGACCAATTGTCATGGTAACGGTCCGAGATGGGAAAATATCAGACCGGAAATCAGCCAATCAGAGCGCGCGTACGGTCCAAGTCATATAATAAATTATCGTACAATGAAATACAGATCAAATGAATTCTTCAAAAATATACATTTAAACTGGTGTATTTTGATGTGAAATTACAACAAGTGGATCTAGCAACTTGTCAACTCTTTGACAGAATGTGAGAGTAGTTTACTTGAGGCGAGATGAGGCGTTGTCCTTTGGCTCTGTCCTCGTCAAAATATCGCAAAAGGACATTCAAAATTCTGTCCACATTTGTTTGTGGACTCTCAATGTTTAAGAAAAAGGTTTCCCTATCAACTTGGTGGCTAGTGCACAGTGCAGTTTGATCAACTGCAAATGATTAATGATAATTAAATCTACCAGCGGTAGTGTTGGTTCTGAACGACAGGTTATTTTCTGCGATAAAGCCACAGACTCTTAGTTTTAGGTCACAGACACGGTCCGCCAGAGCAAGCCTAGTCTCAGTTGCCGCTGACTCAGCTGCCTCATGCGCAGTTTCGAGCTGGTGGCGAATCCAAAGATGTTTTCTCATTACTCCCGTGTAAAAAAAATTATGGCAAAGTACGCACAAGCACCGGCCACCTTCATCTTTTTGCACCATGAAGCAACAGAATCCCATTGTCTCCACCTCATCCAGCCATGCCCACCTTCAATTATTTTTCACTCCGTTATCAATTACTTGCTTGCAGTCACGTGACGCATAAACCTCCGGTTGACGGAGTGGTGGTCAGGCCAGCAAGAGTTGCTGCTGATATATGAAGAAAATGCGATTCTTCCGAGTATTTTTGTGCTTTTTTGGATATTTCATGACACTTTGAAGCTATTGTGGTGAACGTTCTAACTCATCATTCTAACAATATGCACAAGGCAGAATTTTTACACTACATGTTTTGGTAAGGGTTAGGGCACCGCGGCAAATGCTAACATGCTAATAATGCTAATAAGTCTCCTTTCCTCCGCTGTATGTCCCTTACATTCTGTAACGTCTGTGTTTATGCCTCTACCATCGACAATAAAACATTCTGTCTGAATTAAAGACACGATCCTAGACTGTCTTTTTATTAACTTTAGATTCTAATCCACAGCTAGTGTTACAATCAAGCTTTTGCACTGCTAAACAACTGAAGGTTTGGATAAACACGGATACTGCAACTTTTCCGTCCGTCTGTGGGTTTAAGAACTCAGAGTTAAGGTCCTGAAGGACACATCCTGCATCGTACAGAGCCGTGTGAGTAACGATCGGTGAATGAACTTATCATTCTCAACAAAACAATGCGTCTGTGGCTGTTTTCTTTTCAGGTCAAACATTCACAGTGATTATCTAAAACGTTGACTCATCCCTGACAATTAATTACATAAAGATGTGGATGTAATAACAGCACATTGTGACTGAATGGCTGGGTAAATAAATAATCCTTAGAGGTAAAAGCGTTTGCAGTGAAATGTCAGCGAGTCACTTTTCCTGCGTCTTTTCGTAAAGTCCTGAGTGCGAGGCTCTTTATTAATCTCTTCACGAGGAATCCTAAAGTATCCATTAAAGGTTTCACGATTCGATCGGTTAGAAAACTTAAAACAACACATGCAAAAGGCAGATTCAGACACGCTGCTCTAGTGAACAACGAGCTCGGCTGACCACCACTTCGTGATACGCATACGTAATGAGGCGGACGTGACGTCAATTGCAAGCAAGCAATTGCAACTTATACTGCTCCTTCTTCCATAAACAACCATCCATGAGTGTGATGGTGCGTGCCTGCTAGACTAGTTTTGATAAATGAATATAAGACGAGCTAATACACCACACTACACCTTTCTTCAGCGAGTTTCTTCCGTTCGCTCTCGTTGATTGGCTCTTTTTATATCACGCTGAGTTTTGCATGCAGATCTCAAACAAGACATTATCAAAAGCTCAACAAGACATGTTTGTCCCCATTCCCAGTCCCAGCAAAGTACATATTGAACATTCCGTTAAAATAAAAAAGCATTGCGTTTGGTAAACGTTAATTATTTATGTCCTACCTTTCGTCTATTACGTGCCCAGCTTACCGGTCCGCGGGCTGCTGGCTGTTATTGCTCAGTTTGGGATTCAGTTTTCCTTCTCCTCTTCTCCTTTTCAAAAGCTCCGTGCACTTTCCAGAAACGTTCACCTCCGTGTTACATTGCTAACTTGGCCGCGTCTTCATTTGCACGTGAGGTCAGCTACGTCCCATTGCCTTTCATTTGCGGAGCGCTCATGTAGCTAGCCACGGCACGGTCAAGACCCACTCGCGATTATATTACTTTTTATTTCTATATACATATAAATGTATTATATAAATATATTCAAATTATTATTATACATCTATAGACATATATATATGACAGATTCGCACGTATATGTATTACTTTGTATTTTTTATAATTAACCATTTCATTGTGTGTTTTATTATTATATATATATTTTTTCAGAACAATTTCATTTGACGGAAATCCGTCACCTAGAGGGAACTCTTTAATCCCTGTAATAGTCGTATTGCCACAAAACCAACCTTACTCAGCAATAGGCAACTTTGTGCTGAACTGTTGGTCTGACCAGACCTGGTCTTCCCTACATGTGAGCGAGCAAGTTAGGTGTGTTTGTGGCTCCACGCACACACTGCAGCTGGTGTCTGCAGCAAGACCGAGTGCACGAGTTCACTGTGTGCAGGGTGCAGTTGGTCCGAGCCCTGGTCTGGATCAAACGCACTCGCGGACAGTGCACCTCATGGTCACAGACAGAGGATGAAGCCTGCGCAGATCCACCGTGGTCCATACACTGATGAAATATGCGCCTGCGTCGTTTGTGCTGGAGGCACAGGACGCTGGATTCTCATTGTGTGCGCAGGACAGAGTTGTCTGTGCGCTGAGAAAACACTGCGCAATTGTGCACGCGCGCAGCTTAGAGGGAACATTGACGTGGACTCACTTGTCTGTGTGTGTGTGTGTGTGTACCTGTGTGGGGACGTGGACCCACTTGTCTTTGCGTGTACCTCTGTGGGGACGTGGACCCACTTGTAAGTAGTAAGTAAGTAATCTTTATTTATATACCGCCTTTTCACTGCAAATCAGAGTCTCAAAGCAGTTTACAATGGAGGACAGGTTTTTAGTGGTAGGGGAAACCGGAGTACCCGGAGGAAACCTACGCAGAAACATGGAGAACATGCAAGCTCCACTCAGAAAGGTCCTGGTCCGACCGGGATTCGAACCCAGGACCTTCTTGCTGAGAGGCGAGAGTGCTATCCACTCAGCCACCGTGCCGCCCGTCTGTGGGTCCACTTGTCTGTGTGTGTACCTCTGTGGGGACGTGGAGCCACTTGTCTGTGTGTGTGTTTGTGTGTACCTCTGTGGAGACATGGACCCACTTGTCTGTGTGTCTGTGTACCTCTGTGGGGACGTGGACCTACTTGTCTGTGTGCGTACCTCTGTGGGGACGTGGACCCACTTGTCTGTGTGTGTGTGTACCTCTGTGGGGACGTGGACCCACTTGTCTGTGTGTGTGTACCTCTGTGGGGACGTGGACCCACTTGTCTGTGTGTGTGTGTGTGTGTACCTCTGTGGGGACGTGGATCCACTTGTCTGTGTGTGTGTTTGTGTGTACCTCTGTGGGGACGTGGACCCACTTGTCTGTGTGTGTGTGTGTGTACCTCTGTGGGGACGATGGCCCACTTGTGTGTGTGTGTACCTCTGTGGGGACAATGACCCACTTGTCTGTGTGTGTGCTTGTGTGTTTGAACATCTGTGGGGACGTGGATCCACTTGTCTGTGTGGTTGTGTGTGAACCTCTGTGGGGACGTGGATCCACTTGTGTGTGTGTGTGAACTTCTGTGGGGACGTGGATCCACTTGTGTGTGTTTACCTCTTTGGGAACGTGGACCCACTTGTGTCTGTGTACCTCTGTGGGGACGTGGACCCACTTGTGTGTGTGTACCTCTGTGGGGACGTGGACCCACTTGTGTGTGTGTACCTCTGTGGGGACGAGGAACCACTTGTCTGTGTATGTGCGTGTTCCTCTGTGGGGACGTGAACCCACTTGTGTGTGTGTGTACCTCTGTGGGGACGTGGACCCACTTGTGTGTGTGTACCTCTGTGGGGACGTGGACCCACTTGTGTGTGTGTACCTCTGTGGGACGTGGACCCACTTGTCTGTGTGTGTGTTTGTGTACCTCTGTGGGGACGTGGAACCACTTGTCTGTGTGTATGTGTGTACCTCTGTGGGGACGTGGACCCACTTGTCTGTGTGTGTGTGTGTGTGACCCTCTGTGGGGACGTGGACCCACTTGTCTGTGTGTGTGTACCTCTGTGGGGACGTGGACCCACTTGTCTGTGTGTATGTGTGTGTACCTCTGTGGGGACGTGGACCCACTTGTCTGTGTGTGTACCTCTGTGGGGACGTGGAACCACTTGTCTGTGTGTGTACCTCTGTGGGGACGTGGAACCACTTGTCTGTGTGTGTGTGTGTGTGTATGTATGTGTGTGTACCTCTGTGGGGACGTGGACCCACTTGTGCAGCAGAGCCACCAGGGTGTAGTACAGCAGAAGAACCACCAGGGGGTTGATGAAGTCAGGCCAGCAGACCTCTGCATGCAACTTCAGGCTGTAGGGTCTGAGGGGGTCTGTGCGGATCACTCCTGTCATCCCAAACAACCTGAGGGGCAGAGGACACACAGGTGTTAGACACACACCTGGGCAGGTCTGTGTAAGTCTGTGTGAGGCTTTGTGTGTCTGTATCTGTGTGTGTCTGTGTGTGTGTGTGTGTGTGTGTGTGTGTGTGTGTGTCTCTGTATGTGTGTGTGTGTGTGTGTGTGTGTGTGTGTGTGTGTGAGTGTGTGTGTGTGTGTCAGACCTGGCGTACAGGTCCTGGGGGGGGACCACCTTCTGGGGGAGGGGCAGCTGGTACAGATACAGCAGCAGGAGGTGGAACCCGCTGAAGATGGACATCATGACACAGAGAGAAGTGAAGAGGAGCAGACTGAGAGGGCGACTGAAGATCCACAACCAAACCAGCAAAAGGAACCAGCAGAAGTACCAGCTGGAGGTGAGGGACGGGAGGACGATGCCTGCAGAGACAAAGACCGAGACAGAGAGACAGAGAGAGACACAGACAGAGAACTGAATACAGTTAAATCTAATGTACTTCCTAATTCTTAATCTTCTCTGCTATGACTTGTATGTGACCTGATGGTTCTGGCCCTGGTGGTCCTTGCCCTGGTCTTGGTCCTGGTGGTCCTTGTCTTGGTCTTGGTCCTGGTGGTCCTTGTCCTGGTCTTTGTTCTGGTGGTCCAGGTCCTGGTCTTGGTCCTGGTGGTCCTTGTCCTGGTCTTTGTCCTGGTGGTCTTGGGCTTGGTCCTGGTCCTAGAGTAAGTAAGTATCCATCCATCCATTTTCTTCCCCTTAATCCATTTCTGGGTTGGGGGTGGCAGTCAGAGCACCAGCCCCTCACTGATCCTCCTGCAGGTGCTGAGTCCACAGGAGCTGAGATCTTTCAGCGCGGGCTTCAGGCAAAGTGGGGTTAAGTGTCTTGCCCAAGGACACAACAACAGCAGTCATCAGTGGGAGTCGTCAAGTAAGTCTTATGGTGGGCTCGAACCCACGACCTTCAGGTTCATTTTGTTTATAGAGCACCTTTCACAGATAAGGGCTGTACAAGGTAAAAGCAAATTTGTATATACAATAGAAATAAGAAAAGGTAGAAAATAACGACATAAAAAACAAGAAATTAACTAAAAGCAGCCCTAAAAAGAAGAGTCTTTAGTCCCTTTTTAAAAGCATCGGCAGAGTTGACCACACGGAGGGACAGAGGCAGGGCATTCCACAGTCTGGGGGCCACGGACTGGAAGGACCGCCCCCCCCCCGGGTCTTTTAAAAGGTCTTTTGGACCGCAAGTAAATTCTGGCCTGTGGAGCTGAGAGTGCAGCCAGAGCAGAGTGGGGTCAAGAGGTCTGAGATGTAAGATGGAGCCTGACCATTTAAGGCTCTGAAAGTTAATACTAACATTTTAAAATCAATACGTAATTTAATTGGGAGCCAAAAGTGGTCCTAGTCCTGGTGGTCCTGATGGTCCTGGTCCTTGTCCTGGTCTTGGTTCTGGTCCTTGTGGTCCTGGTCCTGGTCTTGTTCCTGGAGGTCACCTGTGAGTCCCAGCAGGACGGTCACCACCACCTTCCCTGCTGTGTTCATGACAGTCGACAGCAGCAGCCTCAGTCCAGCTGCAAAGACCAGGAACTTCTGCACAAACTGTGGGGGTCCGCTCTGTGGGGGGGCCGTGTCCTCAGAGCTGTCCTCAGACTCACTGTCCTCCGACTCTGTGTCCTCTGACTCTGTGTCCGATGTCTCCTGCAGCAGAAAAACACCAGAGAACTGAAGCCAAAAGCCTCATTCACACCGAACAAAACCCTCAGTACAACACATTATAAACTGTTTTCTCATCCACTGCTCATATGTGCTCTCTAGTCTCTCTCTATAGTCTCTCTCTGGTCTCTCTCTGGTCTCTCTCTGGTCTCTCTCTCTGGTCTCTCTCTGGTCTCTCTCTCTGGTCTCTCTCTGGTCTCTCTCTGGTCTCTCTATGGTCTCTCTCTGGTCTCTCTCTCTGTTGTCTCTCTGGTCTCTCTCTCTCTCTCTGGTCTCTCTCTGGTCTCTCTCTCTCTCTCTGGGCTCTCTCTGGTCTCTCTCTGGTCTCTCTCTCTGGTCTCTCTCTCTAGTCTCTCTTTCTGGTCTCTCTCTCTGGTCTCTTTCTGGTCTCTCTCTGGTCTCTCTCTCTGGTCTCTCTCTCTGGTATCTCTCTCTGGTCTCTCTCTCTGGTCTCTCTCTGGTATCTCTCTCTGGTCTCTCTCTCTGGTCTCTCTCTCTGGTCTCTCTCTCTGGTCTCTCTCTGGTCTCTCTCTGGTCTCTCTCTGGTCTCTCTCTGGTCTCTCTCTGGTCTCTCTCTCTGGTCTCTCTGGTCTATCTCTGGTCTCTCTCTGGTCTCTCTCTGGTCTCTCTCTGGTATCTCTCTGGTCTCTGGTTCATGGTTACCTGTGGATGAGTGATGCCGTTGTCATGGAGACTCATAGGAACCGGACGCAGCAACTTTTTGAGAAGTCTCAGGACGAAGAGCGACGAAACCAACAGACCCAGGTCTGGAGCCAAGTACCGGACCACATCTGCAGCTCCCACCTGACTGAACCTGAGACAGACCCAGACTTAGACCCAGACCCAAACTCAGATCCAGGCTAAGAACCAGACCCAGACTCAGACCCAAACCCAGGCTAAGAACCAGACCCAGACCCAGACTCAGACCCAAACCCAGGCTAAGAACCAGACCCAGACTCAGACCCAAACCCAGGCTAAGAACCAGACCCAGACCCAGACTCAGACCCAAACCCAGGCTAAGAACCAGACCCAGACTCAGACCCAAACCCAGGCTAAGAACCAGACACAGACTCAGACCCAAACCCAGGCTAAGAACCAGACACAGACTCAGACCCAAACCCAGGCTAAGAACCAGACACAGACTCAGACCCAAACCCAGGCTAAGAACCTGACCCAGACTCAGACCCAAACCCAGGCTAAGAACCTGACCCAGACTCAGACCCAAACCCAGGCTAAGAACCAGACCCAGACCCAGACTCAGACCCAGCAGAGAATATGAGCAGAATAAACAGCAGCATCAGGTGTAATGATGTCAGGACTGACCTGACGACGCCGATGTGGAAGAGCACGTCCTCCCAGGGGCCGCTGCCTGAAACACATTTCACACATAAAGATCTTAGAGATCTTAAAGATGAGGTTCGCATCTTTCAAACCACAAAGACTGGAGTAGGGATTGGCACATCAATACCTACAGATCTGGTGCGTCGACACCACAAAGACTGAAACTCTTCATCTCGGATGTCTCTCCCTGATGCCCCTGCTGACTCTCCTGATGTCTCACCTGATGTCCCTGCTGACTCCCCTTCTGACTCACCTGATGCCCTGCTGACTCCCCTTCTGACTCACCTGATGCCCTGCTGACTCCCCTGATGTCCTTCTGACTCACCTGATGCCCTGCTGACTCCCCTGATGTCCTTCTGACTCACCTGATGCCCTGCTGACTCCCCTGATGTCCTTCTGACTCACCTGATGCCCTGCTGACTCCCCTGCAGACTCACCTGATGCCCTGATGTCTCACCTGATGCCCTGCTGACTCCCCTGCAGACTCACCTGATGCCCTGATGTCTCACCTGATGTCCCTGCTGACTCACCTGATGTCCCTGCTGACTCCCTGATGTCCCTGCTGACTCCCCTGCTGACTCCCCTGATGTCCCTGCTGACTCCCCTGCTGACTCCTCTGATGTCCCTGCTGACTCCCCTGATGTCCCTGCTGACTCCCCTGCTGACTCACCTGCTGACTCACCTGATGTCCCTGCTGACTCCTCTGATGTCCCTGCTGACTCCCCTGATGTCCCTGCTGACTCACCTGATGTCCCTGCTGACTCCTCTGATGTCCCTGCTGACTCCCCTGCTGACTCCCCTGATGTCCCTGCTGACTCACCTGATGTCCTGCTGACTTCCCTGATGTCCTGCTGACTCACCTGATGTCCTGCTGACTCCTCTGATGTCCCTGCTGACTCCCCTGATGTCCCTGCTGACTCACCTGATGTCCTGCTGACTCCTCTGATGTCCCTGCTGACTTCCCTGATGTCCCTGCTGACTCCCCTGATGTCCCTGCTGACTCCCCTGATGTCCCTGCTGACTCCCCTGCTGACTCACCTGATGTCCCTGCTGACTCCTCTGATGTCCCTGCTGACTCCCCTGCTGACTCCCTGATGTCCCTGCTGACTTCCCTGATGTCCCTGCTGACTCCCTGATGTCCCTGCTGACTCCCCTGCTGACTCACCTGATGTCCCTGCTGACTCCCTGATGTCCCTGCTGACTCCCCTGATGTCCTGCTGACTCCCTGATGTCCCTGCTGACTCCCCTGATGTCCTGCTGACTCCTCTGATGTCCCTGCTGACTCCCCTGATGTCCTGCTGACTCCCCTGATGTCCTGCTGACTCCTCTGATGTCCCTGCTGACTCCCCTGCTGACTCCCCTGATGTCCCGCTGACTCCTCTGATGTCCCTGCTGACTCACCTGATGTCCTGATGTAGGAGAAGGGGACCTGCATGAGACACTGGAGACAGATGAAGCAGAAGCTGCTGCAGACGATGGTCCTCAGGAACATCCCTGTGTTTCCTGAAACACAACAGTCTGTGGTTGTGCCCTTCAGCAACACACTTCCTCACATTCCATTGAGTCTGTGGTTGTGCCCTTCAGCAACACACCTCCTCACATTCCAATGAGTCTGTGGTTGTGCCCTTCAGCAACACACCTCCTCACATTCCAATGAGTCTGTGGTTGTGCCCTTCAGCAACACACTTCCTCACATTCTAATGAGTCTGTGGTTGTGCCCTTCAGCAACACACCTCCTCACATTCCAATGAGTCTGTGGTTGTGCCCTTCAGCAACACACCTCCTCACATTCCAATGAGTCTGTGGTTGTGCCCTTCAGCAACACACCTCCTCACATTCCAATGAGTCTGCTCATCAATAATAACATTATTATTATTATTATTAATATTCTAGAACAGAGAGAAAAGATTGATTTCTCATGATATGTCTCTTATGAAATCCCCCCTCCCCCTCCCCCCTCCTCCCCCCTTCCTCCCTCCTCCCTCCTCCCTCCCCCCTCCTCCCCCTCCTCCCCCTCCTCCCTCCCCCCTCCTCCCCCTCCTCCCCCTCCTCCCCCTCCTCCCTCCTCCCTCCTCCCCCCCTCCTCCCTCCTCCCCCTCCTCCCTCCCCCCTCCTCCCCCTCCTCCCCCTCCCCCCTCCTCCCCCCTCCCCCCTCCTCCCCCTCCTCCCTCCTCCTCCCTCCTCCCCCTCCTCCCCCTCCCCCCTCCTCCCCCTCCTCCCCCTCCTCCCTCCTCCCCCTCCTCCCTCCTCCCTCCTCCTCCCTCCTCCCCCTCCCCCCTTCTCCCCCTCCCCCCTCCTCCCCCTCCTCCCTCCTCCCCCTCCTCCCTCCTCCCTCCTCCCCCTCCTCCCCCTCCCCCCTCCTCCCTCCTCCCTCCTCCCTCCTCCTCCCTCCTCCCCCTCCTCCCCCTCCCCCTCCTCCCCCTCCTCCCTCCTCCCTCCTCCTCCCTCCTCCCCCTCCCCCCTCCTCCCCCTCCTCCCTCCTCCCCCTCCTCCCTCCTCCCCCTCCTCCCTCCTCCCCCTCCTCCTCCTGAGTGCTGATGTCCAGACTGGAGCAGAGAGGTTTAAGTGAAACAAAGCTTTTAGTAAAAATGGCATCACCACCACAGGAGCCAAGTCAGCAGCTCTCACTGAGAACCTGATCTGTGTCCTGGGCCAGAGGGTCCAGTCCAGACACCACAGGGCCAGAGGGTCCGGTCCAGAGACCACAGGGCCAGAGGGTCCGGTCCAGACACCACAGGGCCAGAGGGTCCGGTCCAGAGACCACAGGGCCAGAGGGTCCGGTCCAGACACCACAGGGCCAGAGGGTCCGGTCCAGAGACCACAGGGCCAGAGGGTCCGGTCCAGACACCACAGGGCCAGAGGGTCCGGTCCAGACACCACAGGGCCAGAGGGTCCGGTCCAGACATCACAGGGCCAGAGGGTCCGGTCCAGAGACCACAGGGCCAGAGGGTCCGGTCCAGACACCACAGGGCCAGAGGGTCCGGTCCAGACACCACAGGGCCAGAGGGTCCGGTCCAGAGACCACAGGGCCAGAGGGTCCGGTCCAGACACCACAGGGCCAGAGGGTCCGGTCCAGAGACCACAGGGCCAGAGGGTCCGGTCCAGACACCACAGGGCCAGAGGGTCCGGTCCAGACACCACAGGGCCAGAGGGTCCGGTCCAGAGACCACAGGGCCAGAGGGTCCGGTCCAGACACCACAGGGCCAGAGGGTCCGGTCCAGAGACCACAGGGCCAGAGGGTCCGGTCCAGACACCACAGGGCCAGAGGGTCCGGTCCAGAGACCACAGGGCCAGAGGGTCCGGTCCAGACACCACAGGGCCAGAGGGTCCGGTCCAGACACAGCACAGGGCCAGAGGGTCCGGTCCAGACATCACAGGGCCAGAGGGTCCGGTCCAGACACACCACAGGGCCAGAGGGTCCGGTCCAGACACCACAGGGGGTAGAGGGTCTGGTCCAGAAACCACAGGGCCAGAGGGTCCGGTCCAGACACACCAGGGCCAGAGGGTCCGGTCCAGAGACCACAGGGCCAGAGGGTCCGGTCCAGAGACCAAACGGCCAGAGGGCCGGTCCAGACACCACAGGGCCAGAGGGTCCGGTCCAGAGACCACAGGGCCAGAGGGTCCGGTCCAGAGACCACAGGGCCAGAGGGTCCGGTCCAGACACCACAGGGCCAGAGGGTCCGGTCCAGACACCACAGGGCCAGAGGGTCCGGTCCAGAGACCACAGGGCCAGAGGGTCCGGTCCAGACACCACAGGGCCAGAGGGTCCGGTCCAGAGACCACAGGGCCAGAGGGTCCGGTCCAGACACCACAGGGCCAGAGGGTCCGGTCCAGACACCACAGGGCCAGAGGGTCCGGTCCAGACACAGCACAGGGCCAGAGGGTCCGGTCCAGACATCACAGGGCCAGAGGGTCCGGTCCAGACACACCACAGGGCCAGAGGGTCCGGTCCAGACACCACAGGGCCAGAGGGTCCGGTCCAGACACCACAGGGCCAGAGGGTCCGGTCCAGACACCACAGGGGGTAGAGGGTCTGGTCCAGAGACCACAGGGCCAGAGGGTCCGGTCCAGACACACCAGGGCCAGAGGGTCCGGTCCAGAGACCACAGGGCCAGAGGGTCCGGTCCAGAGACCACAGGGCCAGAGGGTCCGGTCCAGACACCACAGGGCCAGAGGGTCCGGTCCAGACACCACAGGGCCAGAGGGTCCGGTCCAGAGACCACAGGGCCAGAGGGTCCGGTCCAGACACCACAGGGCCAGAGGGTCCGGTCCAGAGACCACAGGGCCAGAGGGTCCGGTCCAGACACCACAGGGCCAGAGGGTCCGGTCCAGACACCACAAGGCCAGAGGGTCCGGTCCAGACACAGCACAGGGCCAGAGGGTCCGGTCCAGACATCACAGGGCCAGAGGGTCCGGTCCAGACACACCACAGGGCCAGAGGGTCCGGTCCAGACACCACAGGGCCAGAGGGTCCGGTCCAGACACCACAGGGCCAGAGGGTCCGGTCCAGACACCACAGGGGGTAGAGGGTCCGGTCCAGAGACCACAGGGCCAGAGGGTCCGGTCCAGACACACCAGGGCCAGAGGGTCCGGTCCAGAGACCACAGGGCCAGAGGGTCCGGTCCAGACACCACAGGGCCAGAGGGTCCGGTCCAGACACCACAGGGCCAGAGGGTCCGGTCCAGACACAGCACAGGGCCAGAGGGTCCGGTCCAGACATCACAGGGCCAGAGGGTCCGGTCCAGACACACCACAGGGCCAGAGGGTCCGGTCCAGACACCACAGGGCCAAAGGGTCCGGTCCAGACACCACAGGGCCAAAGGGTCCGGTCCAGACACACCACAGGGCCAGAGGGTCCGGTCCAGAGACCACAGGGCCAGAGGGTCCGGTCCAGACACCACAGGGCCAGAGGGTCCGGTCCAGACACCACAGGGCCAGAGGGTCCGGTCCAGACACCACAGGGCCAGAGGGTCCGGTCCAGACACCACAGGGGGTAGAGGGTCTGGTCCAGAGACCACAGGGCCAGAGGGTCCGGTCCAGACACCACAGGGCCAGAGGGTCCGGTCCAGACACCACAGGGGGCAGAGGGTCCGGTCCAGACACCACAGGGGGTAGAGGGTCCGGTCCAGACACCCAGAGACACACACACGTATTTAGTCTGTAGTATGAGCTCCCTGTGCTGCTACCAGAGGGAGCAGAGTCTGCAGTCAGAGCTCCCTGTGCTCTGTCCGCAGACAAAATGGTTAACAGAGAAAAAGTCGGTAACACTTTACATTACGGGCCGGTAAGTCCATGGTACTTACAGTGGTACTTCTAGGTACTTACAGTGGTACTTACAGTGGTACTTACGGTGGTACTTACGGTGGTACTTACGGTGGTACTTACGGTGGTACTTACAGTGGTACTTACGGTGGTACTTACGGTGGTACTTACAGTGGTACTTACAGTGGTACTTACAGTGGTACTTACGGTGGTACTTACGGTGGTACTTACAGTGGTACTTACGGTGGTACTTACAGTGGTACTTACAGTGGTACTTACGGTGGTAACTTACGGTGGTACTTACGGTGGTACTTACAGTGGTACTTACGGTGGTACTTACAGTGGTACTTACGGTGGTACTTACGGTGGTACTTACGGTGGTACTTACGGTGGTACTTACAGTGGTACTTACGGTGGTACTTACGGTGGTACTTACAGTGGTACTTACAGTGGTACTTACAGTGGTACTTACGGTGGTACTTACGGTGGTACTTACGGTGGTACTTACGGTGGTACTTACGGTGGTACTTACCGTGGTACTTACGGTGGTACTTACGGTGGTACTTACAGTGGTACTTACAGTGGTACTTACAGTGGTACTTCTAGGTACTTATTGTGGTACTTACAGTGGTACTTCTAGGTACTTACAGTGGTACTTATTGTGGTACTTAGAGGTACTTATTGTGGTACTTACAGTGGTACTTCTAGGTACTTATTGTGATAATTCTAGATACAGCTGTAACTTAGTAATTCAAGGACACTACAGTATTATTCCTATGTAGTAAATGTGGTACTTCTACATACATACATACAGAGGTCATTTGTAGGATTGTTTGACTATAAAACATAAAACAACATTATGTAAAACAAACGTCTTTATTAATATGGAATAAGTAGCACAGAAAGGACAGTATAAATACATTTAATGCATATTTCAAAACAAGTTTCAAGGACAAGGGAAACACTGCAAGAACTAGGTACCCAACCCAAGTAACAAGAATTACACATTACCAGGTACTTACCAGCCAAGTACCAGGTACTTACCAGCAAGTACCAGGTACTTACCATAGGGACTGGCCCATAATAAGACAAAGGACTTTAACATAAGTACCAGTGATAACACCAGTAATTATACAGTAAGTACCAGGTACTTACCATAGGGACTGGCCCATAATAAGACAAAGGACTTTAACATAAGTACCAGTGATAACACCAGTAATTATATAGTAAGTACCAGGTACTTACCATAGGAACTGGCCCATAATAAGACAAAGGACTTACCCATAAGTACTAGTGATACCAGGTACTTACCAGCAAGTACCAGGTACTTACCAGCAAGTACCAGGTACTTACCAGCAAGTACCAGGTACTTACCAGCAAGTACCAGGTACTTACCAGCAAGTACCAGGTACTTACCAGCAAGTACCAGGTACTTACCAGCAAGTACCAGGTACTTACCAGCAAGTACCAGGTACTTACCAGCAAGTACCAGGTACTTACCAGCAAGTACCAGGTACTTACCAGCAAGTACCAGGTACTTACCAGCAATTACCAGATACTTACCAGCAAGTACCAGGTACTTAACAGCAAGTACCAGGTACTTACTGTATAATTACTGGTGTTATCACTGGTACTTATGTTAAAGTCCTTTGTCTTAATATGGGCCAGTTCCTATGGTAAGTACCTGGTACTTACTATATAATTACTGGTGTTATCACTGGTACTTATGTTAAAGTCCTTTGTCTTATTATGGGCCAGTTCCTATGGTAAGTACCTGGTACTTACTATATAATTACTGGTGTTATCACTGGTACTTATGTTAAAGTCCTTTGTCTTATTACGGGCCAGTCCCTATGGTAAGTACCTGGTACTTGCTGGTAAGTACCTGGTACTTGCTGGTAAGTACCTGGTACTTGCCTGGTAAGTACCTGGTACTTGCTGGTAAGTACCTGGTACTTGCCTGGTAAGTACCTGGTACTTGCTGGTAAGTACCTGGTACTTGCCTGGTAAGTACCTGGTACTTGCCTGGTAAGTACCTGGTAATGTGTAATTCTTGTTACTTGGGTTGGGTACCTAGTTCTTGCAGTGTTTCCCTTGTCCTTGAAACTTGTTTTGAAATATGCATTAAATGTATTTATACTGTCCTTTCTGTGCTACTTATTCCATATTAATAAAGACGTTTGTTTTACATAATGTTGTTTTATGTTTTATAGTCAAACAATCCTACAAATGACCTCTGTATGTATGTATGTAGAAGTACCACATTTACTACATAGGAATAATACTGTAGTGTCCTTGAATTACTAAGTTACAGCTGTATCTAGAATTATCACAATAAGTACCTAGAAGTACCACTGTAAGTACCACAATAAGTACCTCTAAGTACCACAATAAGTACCACTGTAAGTACCTAGAAGTACCACTGTAAGTACCACAATAAGTACCTAGAAGTACCACTGTAAGTACCACTGTAAGTACCACTGTAAGTACCACTGTAAGTACCTAGAAGTACCACTGTAAGTACCACTGTAAGTACCACTGTAAGTACCACCGTAAGTACCACGGTAAGTACCACCGTAAGTACCACCGTAAGTACCACCGTAAGTACCACCGTAAGTACCACTGTAAGTACCACCGTAAGTACCACCGTAAGTACCACTGTAAGTACCACTGTAAGTACCACTGTAAGTACCACCGTAAGTACCACCGTAAGTACCACTGTAAGTACCACTGTAAGTACCACTGTAAGTACCACCGTAAGTACCACCGTAAGTACCACTGTAAGTACCACCGTAAGTACCACTGTAAGTACCACCGTAAGTACCACTGTAAGTACCACCGTAAGTACCACTGTAAGTACCACCGTAAGTACCACCGCTAAGTACCACTGTAAGTACCACTGTAAGTACCACTGTAAGTACCACTGTAAGTACCACTGTAAGTACCACCGTAAGTACCACTGTAAGTACCACCGTAAGTACCACTGTAAGTACCACTGTAAGTACCACTGTAAGTACCACTGTAAGTACCACTGTAAGTACCACCGTAAGTACCACTGTAAGTACCACCGTAAGTACCACTGTAAGTACCACCGTAAGTACCACTGTAAGTACCACCGTAAGTACCACCGTAAGTACCACTGTAAGTACCACTGTAAGTACCACTGTAAGTACCACTGTAAGTACCACTGTAAGTACCACCGTAAGTACCACTGTAAGTACCACCGTAAGTACCACCGTAAGTACCACCGTAAGTACCACTGTAAGTACCACTGTAAGTACCACCGTAAGTACCACCGTAAGTACCACCGTAAGTACCACCGTAAGTACCACCGTAAGTACCACTGTAAGTACCACCGTAAGTACCACCGTAAGTACCACCGTAAGTACCACCGTAAGTACCACCGTAAGTACCACCGTAAGTACCACTGTAAGTACCACCGTAAGTACCACCGTAAGTACCACCGTAAGTACCACCGTAAGTACCACCGTAAGTACCACTGTAAGTACCACCGTAAGTACCACCGTAAGTACCACCGTAAGTACCACTGTAAGTACCACCGTAAGTACCACTGTAAGTACCACTGTAAGTACCACCGTAAGTACCACTGTAAGTACCACCGTAAGTACCACTGTAAGTACCACTGTAAGTACCTAGAAGTACCACTGTAAGTACCTAGAAGTACCACTGTAAGTACCACTGTAAGTACCACTGTAAGTACCACTGTAAGTACCACTGTAAGTACCACCGTAAGTACCACTGTAAGTACCACTGTAAGTACCTAGAAGTACCACTGTAAGTACCACTGTAAGTACCACTGTAAGTACCACTGTAAGTACCACTGTAAGTACCACCGTAAGTACCACTGTAAGTACCACTGTAAGTACCTAGAAGTACCACTGTAAGTACCATGGACTTACCGGCCCGTAATGTAAAGTGTTACCAAAAAGTCCATGAGACTTTTCACTGTGACGACTAAAGGATCTCTTAATCTAGATGTTTGGACTCAAAGACAAAAATCCACTGATTGCTAACTTGAGCTTTGACTTGCATCACTTCTTTTTCCGTGTGAATAATATAAAAATAACTGTCTCATTTTGGTCTAATATATAGAACAACGTTAAATGAACCTGTAGTGAGTTAATGTCCAGCTAACGCAAACAGCTAACGCAAAGAGCTAACGTTAACCAGCTAACGCTAACAGCTAACACTAACAGCTAACGCTAACCTAGTGCTGCTCCAAACGCTGAGTGGTGGAGCAGCTGCTGCTGAGTCGTAGTTTGTGTAATTACAGCTCAGAGATAATTGACCACATCCTTTTACTCACTTCATTCTGAATCAATACAGCCTCATGTTTAAGCACTTTACCTTCATCAGGACAAACTCAGGCCCAGGGGCCGCCGTGGCCCTCTGCGGCTGTGATAACGTCTCTCTCTCTGGTCTCTCTCTGGTCTCTCTCTCTGGTCTCTCTCTCTGGTCTCTCTCTGGTCTCTCTCTGGTCTCTCTCTGGTCTCTCTCTGGTCTCTCTCTGGTCTCTCTCTGGTCTCTCTCTGGTCTCTCTCTGGTCTCTCTCTGGTCTCTCTCTCTGGTCTCTCTCTGGTCTCTCTCTGGTCTCTCTCTGGTCTCTCTCTGGTCTCTCTCTCTGGTCTCTCTCTCTGGTCTCTCTCTGGTCTCTCTCTCTGGTCTCTCTCTGGTCTCTCTCTGGTCTCTCTCTCTGGTCTCTCTCTCTGGTCTCTCTCTGGTCTCTCTCTCTGGTCTCTCTCTCTGGGCTCTCTCTGGTCTGTCTCTCTGGTCTCTCTTTCTGGTCTCTCTCTCTGGGCTCTCTCTGGTCTCTCTCTGGTCTCTCTCTGGTCTCTCTCTGGTCTCTCTCTCTGGTCTCTCTCTCTGGTCTCTCTCTGGTCTCTCTCTCTGGTCTCTCTCTCTGGTCTCTCTCTGGTCTCTCTCTCTGGTCTCTCTCTGGTCTCTCTCTGGTCTCTCTCTCTGGTCTCTCTCTCTGGTCTCTCTCTGGTCTCTCTCTCTGGTCTCTCTCTCTGGGCTCTCTCTGGGCTCTCTCTGGTCTGTCTCTCTGGTCTCTCTCTCTGGTCTCTCTCTCTGGTCTCTCTCTGGTCTCTCTCTGGTCTCTCTCTGGTCTCTCTCTGGTCTCTCTCTCTGGTCTCTCTCTCTGGTCTCTCTCTGGTCTCTCTCTGGTCTCTCTCTGGTCTCTCTCTGGTCTCTCTCTCTGGTCTCTCTCTCTGGTCTCTCTCTCTGGTCTCTCTCTGGTCTCTCTCTGGTCTCTCTCTGGTCTCTCTCTCTGGTCTCTCTCTCTGGTCTCTCTCTGGTCTCTCTCTGGTCTCTCTCTGGTCTCTCTCTGGTCTCTCTCTGGTCTCTCTCTCTGGTCTCTCTCTCTGGTCTCTCTCTGGTCTCTCTCTCTGGTCTCTCTCTCTGGTCTCTCTCTCTGGTCTCTCTCTGGTCTCTCTCTCTGGTCTCTCTCTGGTCTCTCTCTCTGGTCTCTCTCTGGTCTCTCTATGGTCTCCCTCTGGTCTCTCTCTCTGGTCTCTCTCTCTGGTCTCTCTCTGGTCTCTCTCTGGTCTCTCTCTGGTCTCTCTCTGGTCTCTCTCTCTGGTCTCTCTCTCTGGTCTCTCTCTGGTCTCTCTCTGGTCTCTCTCTGGTCTCTCTCTAGTCTCTCTCTGGTCTCTCTCTCTGGTCTCTCTCTCTGGTCTCTCTCTGGTCTCTCTCTCTGGTCTCTCTCTCTGGTCTCTCTCTGGTCTCTCTCTCTGGTCTCTCTCTCTGGTCTCTCTCTGGTCTCTCTCTCTGGTCTCTCTCTGGTCTCTCTCTAGTCTCTCTCTGGTCTCTCTCTCTGGTCTCTCTCTCTGGTCTCTCTGGTCTCTCTCTCTGGTCTCTCTCTCTGGTCTCTCTCTGGTCTCTCTCTCTGGTCTCTCTCTGGTCTCTCTCTCTGGTCTCTCTCTGGTCTCTCTCTGGTCTCTCTCTGGTCTCTCTCTGCTCTCTCTCTGGTCTCTCTCTCTGGTCTCTCTGGTGTCTCTCTGGTCTCTCCCTCTGGTCCCTCTCCTGGTCCCTCTCCTTGTCTATCCCTGGACCCTCTCCTGGTCCCTCTCCTGGTCCCTCTCCTGGTCTATCCCTGGACCCTCTCCTGGTCCCTCTCCTGGTCCCTCTCCTGGTCCCTCTCCTGGTCTATCCCTGGTCCCTCTCCTGGTCCCTCTCCTGGTCTATCCCTGGTCCCTCTCCTGGTCCCTCTCCTGGTCCCTCTCCTGGTCCCTCACCTTTCATGGTGTCCGGTCTGGGGTTTGGCAGCAGCGGCAGAATCAGCAGAAAGATGAAATAAACCAGCGACAAACCGTTGTATCTGAACGAAGAGGCTGAAACAGAAACATGTTAGAAGCACCTCCTGCACCTCTCTCCAGGAGCCTCCTCCTCAGAGCCCTCAGTGCCTCCTCCTGAGAGCCTCCTCCTCAGAGCCCTCAGTGCCTCCTCCTGAGAGCCTCCTCCTCAGAGCCTCCTCCTCAGAGCCTCCCCCTCAGAGCCTCCTCCTCAGAGCCTCCTCCTCAGAGCCTCCTCCTCAGAGCCCTCAGTGCCTCCTCCTGAGAGCCTCCTCCTCAGAGCCTCCTCCTCAGAGCCTCCTCCTCAGAGCCTCCTCCTCAGAGCCTCCTCCTCAGAGCCTCCTCCTCAGAGCCTCCTCCTCAGAGCCTCCTCCTCAGAGCCTCCTCCTCAGAGCCTCCTTTCACAGGAGGTACTGTTTATGGACATGTCTCTAAAGTGACATCTGTGGATATACACATATATGCAGGGTGTATGTATATGTATACATGTGTACCTATGTATATGTATACATGTGTACCTATGTATATGTATACATGTGTACCTATGTATATGTATACATGTGTACCTATGTATATGTATACATGTGTACCTATGTATATGTATACATGTGTACCTATGTATATGTATACATGTGTACCTATGTATATGTATACATGTGTACCTATGTATATGTATACATGTGTACCTATGTATATGTATACATGTGTACCTATGTATATGTATACATGTGTACCTATGTATATGTATACATGTGTACCTATGTATATGTATACATGTGTACCTATGTATATGTATACATGTGTACCTATGTATATGTATACATGCGAATACATGCGGGTGCCCTCTCTATTTTCTTTTTTTTTTTTTTTTTTTATTCTTACTTCTTTTTATTTTCTGCAATTTATGTATGTGTATGTGTGTGTGTGTATATATGTGTACATATGTATATGTGTTTTTGTGTATGTGTGTATGTATGTATATATGTATGTATGTGTATATATGTGTGTGTGCATGTGTATACATTCGTACACATACATGTATATACTTTTTTTTTTTTTTTTTTTTTTTTACTTGAAGTTATTTTTCCCTTTTTAGGAACATGCTTACTTATTTACCCTTTTTACAGCCAAACATAACTCTACGAGATACACTGTCAACCTGGAGATGAACTGGGGAGGGGGGGTGGTAGTGGGGGAGGGGGGGTTGTGTATATATAATACAAAAACACGCACATAGACTGTACTTGCTGTCAACAACTGTAAATGCATCTAATTGTGTGTATAACAAACAATAAAAATAAAAAAATAAAAAAAAGTGACATCTGTGGGTCCTGTCACTCACCCGTCAGCAGCAGCAGCGGCAGCAGAAGGTTGTAGACCATCCCCACGGCCAGGTCCCCCGCCATGGCTCCTGCTCCTGTGCCTCCTGTCTCTGCTCCTGCTCCTGCTCCTGCTCCTGACTCTACTCCTGCTCCTGTCTCTGCTCCTGCTCCTGCTCCTGTCTCTGCTCCTGACTCTACTCCTCCTGCTCCTGCTCCTGACTCTACTCCTCCTGCTCCTGCTCCTGCTCCTCCTGCTCCTGCTCCTGCTCCTGACTCTACTCCTGCTCCTGTCTCTGCTCCTGCTCCTGCTCCTGTCTCTGCTCCTGACTCTACTCCTCCTGCTCCTGCTCCTGACTCTACTCCTCCTGCTCCTGCTCCTGCTCCTCCTGCTCCTGCTCCTGTCTCTGCTCCTGCTCCTGCTCCTGTCTCTGCTCCTGCTCCTGCTCCTGACTCTGCTCACAGTGAGCACAAAGCCCAAATGTAGTGTCCTACCCCCACCTCCCTTTCCCCCTTCCCTCTCTCTCCCCTCTCCCTCACCTACCTCCCCTCAGTCCCCCCTCTCCTCTCTCTCTCCCCTCTCTCCCTGTGCTCTCTCCTCTCTCTCCCTGTGCTCTCTCCCCTCTCTCCCTGTGCTCTCTCCCCTCTCTCCCTGTGCTCTCTCCTCTCTCTCCCTGTGCTCTCTCCCTGTGCTCTCTCCTCTCTCTCCCTGTGCTCTCTCCTCTCTCTCCCTGTGCTCTCTCCCCTCTCTCCCTGTGCTCTCTCCCCTCTCTCCCTGTGCTCTCTCCCCTCTCTCCCTGTGCTCTCTCCTCTCTCTCCCTGTGCTCTCTCCCTGTGCTCTCTCCTCTCTCTCCCTGTGCTCTCTCCTCTCTCTCCCTGTGCTCTCTCCTCTCTCTCCCTGTGCTCTCTCCCCTCTCTCCCTGTGCTCTCTCCTCTCTCTCCCTGTGCTCTCTCCCCTCTCTCCCTGTGCTCTCTCCCCTCTCTCCCTGTGCTCTCTCCTCTCTCTCCCTGTGCTCTCTCCCTGTGCTCTCTCCTCTCTCTCCCTGTGCTCTCTCCTCTCTCTCCCTGTGCTCTCTCCCCTCTCTCCCTGTGCTCTCTCCCCTCTCTCCCTGTGCTCTCTCCCCTCTCTCCCTGTGCTCTCTCCTCTCTCTCCCTGTGCTCTCTCCCTGTGCTCTCTCCTCTCTCTCCCTGTGCTCTCTCCTCTCTCTCCCTGTGCTCTCTCCTCTCTCTCCCTGTGCTCTCTCCCCTCTCTCCCTGTGCTCTCTCCCTGTGCTCTCTCCCTGTGCTCTCTCCCTGTGCTCTCTCCCTGTGCTCTCTCCCTGTGCTCTCTCCCTGTGCTCTCTCCCTGTGCTCTCTCCCCTCTCTCCCTGTGCTCTCTCCCCTCTCTCCCTGTGCTCTCTCTCCCTGTGCTCTCTCCCTGTGCTCTCTCCCTGTGCTCTCTCCCTGTGCTCTCTCCCTGTGCTCTCTCCCCTCTCTCCCTGTGCTCTCTCCCTGTGCTCTCTCCCTGTGCTCTCTCCCCTCTCTCCCTGTGCTCTCTCCCTGTGCTCTCTCCCCTCTCTCCCATGTGCTCTCTCCCCTCTCTCCCTGTGCGCTCTCCCTGTGCTCTCTCCCTGTGCTCTCTCCCCTCTCTCCCTGTGCTCTCTCCCCTCTCTCCCTGTGCTCTCTCCTCTCTCTCCCTGTGCTCTCTCCCCTCTCTCCCTGTGCTCTCTCCCTGTGCTCTCTCCCCTCTCTCCCTGTGCTCTCTCCCTGTGCTCTCTCCCCTCTCTCCCTGTGCTCTCTCCTCTCTCTCCCTGTGCTCTCTCCTCTCTCTCCCTGTGCTCTCTCCCCTCTCTCCCTGTGCTCTCTCCCTGTGCTCTCTCCCCTCTCTCCCTGTGCTCTCTCCCTGTGCTCTCTCCCCTCTCTCCCTGTGCTCTCTCCCCTCTCTCCCTGTGCTCTCTCCCTGTGCTCTCTCCTCTCTCTCCCTGTGCTCTCTCCCCTCTCTCCCTGTGCTCTCTCCCCTCTCTCCCTGTGCTCTCTCCCTGTGCTCTCTCCCCTCTCTCCCTGTGCTCTCTCCTCTCTCTCTCTGTGCTCTCTCCCTGTGCTCTCTCCCCTCTCTCCCTGTGCTCTCTCCCTGTGCTCTCTCCCCTCTCTCCCTGTGCTCTCTCCTCTCTCTCTCTCGTTTTCTTGTTTTAATGGGTTATAGTGGTTGTGAGCATTATCCCTAATGTCCCTCAGGAGGAAAGGTGCTGAGCCTGAAACTCTGATCCATCACAAACACAAACATTTACAGCTTTCATTGATCACATCAGAACACCCACTGCATTAGAACATATAAGAGCCCTGTGAGTCACTATTTGACTCTTTAGGTGGTCCTCTCTGTTTCACTTTTCTGTATGAAAAAGCTATCTCTCTGGTCCCTCTCTGGTCCCTCTCTGGTCTCTCTCTGGTCTCTCTCTGGTCCCTCTCTGGTCCCTCTCTGGTCCCTCTCTGGTCTCTCTCTGGTCTCTCTCTGGTCTCTCTCTGGTCTCTCTCTGGTCCCTCTCTGGTCTCCCTCTGGTCTCTCTCTGGTCTCTCTCTGGTCTCTCTCTGGTCTCTCTCTGGTCTCTCTCTGGTCTCTCTCTGGTCCCTCTCTGGTCTCCCTCTGGTCTCTCTCTGGTCTCTCTCTGGTCTCTCTCTGGTCCCTCTCTGGTCTCCCTCTGGTCTCTCTCTGGTCTCTCTCTGGTCTCTCTCTGGTCTCTCTCTGGTCTCTCTCTGGTCTCTCTCTGGTCTCTCTCTGGTCCCTCTCTGGTCTCCCTCTGGTCTCTCTCTGGTCTCTCTCTGGTCTCTCTCTGGTCTCTCTCTGATCTCTCTCTGGTCTCTCTCTAGTCCCTCTCTGGTCCCTCTCTGGTCCCTCTCTGGTCTCTCTCTGGTCTCTCTCTGGTCTCTCTCTGGTCCCTCTCTGGTCTCCCTCTGGTCTCTCTCTGGTCTCTCTCTGGTCTCTCTCTGGTCTCTCTCTGGTCTCTCTCTGGTCTCTCTCTAGTCCCTCTCTGGTCCCTCTCTGGTCTCTCTCTGGTCTCTCTCTGGTCCCTCTCTGGTCTCCCTCTGGTCTCTCTCTGGTCTCTCTCTGGTCTCTCTCTGGTCTCTCTCTGGTCTCTCTCTGGTCTCTCTCTGGTCTCTCTCTGGTCTCTCTCTAGTCCCTCTCTGGTCCCTCTCTGGTCTCTCTCTGGTCTCTCTCTGGTCTCTCTCTGGTCTCTCTCTGGTCTCTCTCTAGTCCCTCTCTGGTCCCTCTCTGGTCTCTCTCTCTGGTCTCTCTCTGGTCTCTCTCTAGTCCCTCTCTGGTCCCTCTCTGGTCCCTCTCTGGTCTCTCTCTGGTCTCTCTCTGGTCTCTCTCTGGTCCCTCTCTGGTCTCCCTCTGGTCTCTCTCTGGTCTCTCTCTGGTCTCTCTCTGGTCTCTCTCTGGTCTCTCTCTGGTCTCTCTCTGGTCTCTCTCTAGTCTCTCTCTGGTCTCTCTCTGGTCTCTCTCTGGTCTCTCTCTGGTCTCTCTCTGGTCTCTCTCTGGTCTCTCTCTGGTCATCTCTCTGGTCCCTCTCTGGTCTCTCTCTGGTCTCTCTCTGGTCTCTCTCTGGTCTCTCTCTGGTCTCTCTCTGGTCTCTCTCTGGTCTCTCTCTGGTCTCTCTCTGGTCATTCTCTGGTCCTCTCTCTGGTCTCTCTCTGGTCTCTCTCTGGTCTCTCTCTGGTCTCTCTCTGGTCTCTCTCTAGTCCCTCTCTGGTCATTCTCTGGTCTCTCTCTGGTCTCTCTCTGGTCTCTCTCTGGTCTCTCTCTGGTCTCTCTCTGGTCTCTCTCTGGTCTCTCTCTGGTCTCTCTCTGGTCTCTCTCTGGTCTCTCTCTGGTCCCTCTCTGGTCTCTCTCTGGTCTCTCTCTGGTCTCTCTCTGGTCCCTCTCTGGTCTCCCTCTGGTCTCTCTCTGGTCTCTCTCTGGTCCCTCTCTGGTCTCTCTCTGGTCCCTCTCTGGTCTCTCTCTGGTCTCTCTCTCTGGTCTCTCTCTGGTCTCTCTCTTGTCTCTCTCTGGTCTCTCTCTGGTCCCTCTCTGGTCTCTCTATGGTCTCTCTCTCTGGTCTCTCTCTGGTCTCTCTCTTGTCTCTCTCTGGTCCCTCTCTGGTCTCTCTCTGGTCTCTCTCTGGTCTCTCTCTGGTCTCTCTCTGGTCTCTCTCTGGTCTCTCTCTGGTCTCTCTCTGGTCTCTCTCTGGTCATTCTCTGGTCCCTCTCTGGTCTCTCTCTGGTCTCTCTCTGGTCTCTCTCTGGTCTCTCTCTTGTCTCTCTCTGGTCTCTCTCTGGTCTCCCTCTGGTCTCTCTCTGGTCTCTCTCTGGTCTCTCTCTGGTCTCTCTCTGGTCTCTCTCTGGTCTCTCTCTGGTCTCTCTCTGGTCTCCCTCTGGTCTCTCTCTGGTCTCTCTCTGGTCTCTCTCTGGTCTCTCTCTGGTCTCTCTCTGGTCTCTCTCTCTGGTCTCTCTCTCTGGTCTCTCTCTGGTCTCTCTCTGGTCTCTCTCTGGTCTCTCTCTGGTCTCTCTCTGGTCTCTCTCTCTGGTCTCTCTCTGGTCTCTCTCTCTGGTCCCTCTCTGGTCTCTTTCTGGTCCCTCTCTGGTCTCTCTTTGGTCTGTTTTACGACTGCTGACCATGATCTATAGCATGAGGTAAGGGACGACACCTTGTTACTTATTCATGAAGTCGTAATGGTCCTTTACCATCAACTTTACTTACTCTGCATTCTGTAAATGTCTGTAAAACTCTGGGACAATGCTAACCCGCTAGCTCCAAGTTCAATGTGAAAGTGTTCATTGAAATTGTTTGTGTCCCTGTGGCTCCTGATGACCTGATGACTCCTGACCCTGTGGCTCCTGACCCTGTGGCTCCTGATGACCTGATGACTCCTGACCCTGTGGCTCCTGACCCTGTGGCTCCTGATGACCTGATGACTCCTGACCCTGTGGCTCCTGATGACCTGATGACTCCTGACCCTGTGGCTCCTGATGACCTGATGACTCCTGACCCTGTGGCTCCTGATGACCTGATGACTCCTGACCCTGTGGCTCCTGATGACCTGATGACTCCTGACCCTGTGGCTCCTGATGACCTGATGACTCCTGACCCTGTGGCTCCTGATGACCTGATGACTCCTGACCCTGTGGCTCCTGATGACCTGATGACTCCTGACCCTGTGGCTCCTGATGACCTGATGACTCCTGACCCTGTGGCTCCTGATGACCTGATGACTCCTGACCCTGTGGCTCCTGATGACCTGATGACTCCTGACCCTGTGGCTCCTGATGACTTGCTCTGGCTCAGTTCTGTTAGTGTGACATCACCATGTTGGGTGTTCAATCCTTGCTTTAGTTTATCTTATCTTAGGTCTCTGTGATCCTGTGTTTATGTCTGAAGTCTCTTTTCACACTCACCTTGATACTGGTCCATACTATAGGCCTGTACTGGTACTTATACCATAGGACCTGATGCCCAACCTGGTCCATGTACATTTGTCACAACAGCAGTCAGCTGGGCGGCACGTGTTGCCATGGTGATCTCCCAAAGTCAGCAGTGGGAAGGGAGGCTAGCGACGACTTAGCTAGCGACAAGTAAGCTAGGGGTCAAGTAAGCTAGGGATCAAGTAAGCTAGGGGTCAAGTAAGCTAGGATCAAGTAAGCTAGGGGTCAAGTAAGCTAGGGGTCAAGTAAGCTAGGGATCAAGTAAGCTAGGGGTCAAGTAAGCTAGGGGTCAAGTAAGCTAGGGGTCAAGTAAGCTAGGGGTCAAGTAAGCTAGGGATCAAGTAAGCTAGGATCAAGTAAGCTAGGGGTCAAGTAAGCTAGGGATCAAGTAAGCTAGGGGTCAAGTAAGCTAGGGGTCAAGTAAGCTAGGGGTCAAGTAAGCTAGGGGTCAAGTAAGCTAGGGATCAAGTAAGCTAGCGGTCAAGTAAGCTAGGGGTCAAGTAAGCTAGGGATCAAGTAAGCTAGGGGTCAAGTAAGCTAGGATCAAGTAAGCTAGGGGTCAAGTAAGCTAGGGGTCAAGTAAGCTAGGGATCAAGTAAGCTAGGGGTCAAGTAAGCTAGGGGTCAAGTAAGCTAGGGGTCAAGTAAGCTAGGGGTCAAGTAAGCTAGGGATCAAGTAAGCTAGGATCAAGTAAGCTAGGGGTCAAGTAAGCTAGGGATCAAGTAAGCTAGGGGTCAAGTAAGCTAGGGGTCAAGTAAGCTAGGGGTCAAGTAAGCTAGGGGTCAAGTAAGCTAGGGATCAAGTAAGCTAGGGGTCAAGTAAGCTAGGGGTCAAGTAAGCTAGGGGTCAAGTAAGCTAGCGGTCAAGTAAGCTAGGGATCAAGTAAGCTAGCGGTCAAGTAAGCTAGCGGTCAAGTAAGCTAGTGGTAAGTAAGCTAGCGGTCAAGTAAGCGGACAAGGGGACAGCCGTATTTTACACAAAGCGGTTTAAAATAACAATTGCAAACCACTTTGTGACTCTGGTCTGTGAAAGGCGGTATATAATAACGGCTTATTAACCGAGCGCGAGGTCTGTATGGAGAAATATCAGACCGCGGCCTTAAAGCTGCACTAACTGACTTTGGGATTTTGAAGCCGTGGACTCGCTGGCCTCTCTCTTTCTGCTCCGCTCCCCGCACCCACGAAGCTATCGCCCCCACACACACCCACTGTTGGGACGGAGCTAGTGTCTCCCAATATGGATAATACATGGATATGGATTTGCACGTGGATGGCGTGACCATAGAATGATAGAACCGGGAAGCGCGGAGGAACGAGACTTTCGTTTGGATGGCTGTCTCGCTGTGTAAGCAGTAACCGGTGACGAAGACGAGGAAGCTTCAGGTTAGCTCCTCGGCTTGTTGTGCTAACTCAGCCGTCTATGCTAACGGACCTGTAGATTTCTCACGAAAGTGGGGGCTAGTGGTCCGCTGTGATTGGTCACAATCTGCGACCCGAAACACATTCTCTTCCTTGTTTCATCAAAACTCGATCTAAAATATAATGTCACACCAGCACAAATCTGCGCTACTTTTTCTTCAAAAGGACGTATATCCCAATGCCCTACACGGACATGGATAGCATTTTAGTAATTAATACAAAAATAAAGTCAGTTAGTGCAGCTTTAATGCACAGACCGAGCCTTAAAGTGATTGTCTGGAGTTTGTCAGAGACGGAGAGGTGCTTGATTTGATAAAAACGACGCAAGCTCCTCCCCCTTCCTTTCTGATTGGTCTACACCTACGTTTCCGTAACACTTTGAAATGTTAATCAGAGAACACATACATATACATTATAAATACACATGCACGGAAGTTTTCAGAATAATTTGTGAACGTTTTAATGAAAAAAATAATGTTTTTATGCACAAAAAAAGCGATCGCGGCAAACCAGGAAGTGCTATTATCATGAATTGCACATCACAGGACACATCTGCAGAGGATCTGATTATGGATGTTCAGAATATACATAAGTACCTCAGCGCGGATGTTCAGAATTCTGTGTTCAGTTTTCATGTAGTTCCAGAGCCTGTGGAGGCTTGATTCGGAGGCTCCGCGAAAACAAACAACTGAGCATGAGCAGCTGCGAGCATCAGCGCTGATGATTGACAGCCCTTGGCAGGACTCGATTGGTTAACCTCGACGGCACCGTGGATTCTGAACTATAGCTAAGAGCAGGGAAGGCGGGACTTGCCCGTAATATTAGAATTAATAAAATGACTTATTTTATATCAACATTTAAGGCCAGGAGGTCAATTTAACACATTTCCTAAAATTTGTAAATCATTTAGAGTTACAGACTATCACTTTAATGCACAGACCGAGCCGTGACGAGGTTAATAAATGTTTTATTATATGACTCTCGTCTGTGTCTTTACCAATGCTTTTGAGATATTTGTGAAGTATGTTCACGTCCGACTTGGTTTTGTGTGATACGCGCCGCGGATAGATTGTCATGGTAACGGTCCATGGAAAGATATCAAATGTGATACGCGCTGTTCGGACCAATTGTCATGGTAACGGTCCGAGATGGGAAAATATCAGTCCAGTAATCAGCCAATCAGAGCGCGTGTACGGTCCAAGTCATATAATAAATAAAGATTACTTACTTACTTACTTACTTTTGAACAAAGTGGTATCGATGCATCCCGAGTTGGGGTATGTAACTTTCAAACAACAGAACATCTCTGTCCTCAGCCTCCAATACATCGCAGCAACCTCAGGGAGGTCTGAGCTTCATTCACCCAAACAGCTCCACGGCTCCCTACGCTGTCTGTGATGTCACATCTGCAGAGTCTGTGATGTCACATCTGCAGAGTCTGTGATGTCACATCTGCAGTCTGTGATGTCACATCTGCAGAGTCTGTGATGTCACATCTGCAGTCTGTGATGTCACATCTGCAGAGTCTGTGATGTTACATCTGCAGAGTCTGTGATGTCACATCTGCAGAGACTGCAGTTTGTGAAAATAAATAATTCAAAGCACAGAATAGATTTTGTTTGGGTTATTTTTAAGTGTTTTGCTCAGTGCTGTTGGCATCGATCCCACCTCACAGGTATTCATGTTAATGGCTCCTCACAGGTCTTCATGTTATTGGCTGTTTACATTAGTCACATGTTCTATAGTAACTGTTGTTTACATTAGTCACATGTTCTATAGTAACTGTTGTATACATTAGTCACATGTTCTATAGTAACTGTTGTTTACATTAGTCACATGTTCTATAGTAACTGTTGTATACATTAGTCACATGTTCTATAGTAACTGTTGTTTACATTAGTCACATGTTCTATAGTAACTGTTGTATACATTAGTCACATGTTCTATAGTAACTGTTGTATACATTAGTCACATGTTCTATAGTAACTGTTGTATACATTAGTGAAGTCACATGTTCTATAGTAACTGTTGTTTACATTAGTCACATGTTCTATAGTAACTGTTGTATACATTACTCACATGTTCTATAGTAACTGTTGTATACATTACTCACATGTTCTATAGTAACTGTTGTATACATTAGTCACATGTTCTATAGTAACTGTTGTATACATTAGTGAAGTCACATGTTCTATAGTAACTGTTGTTTACATTAGTCACATGTTCTATAGTAACTGTTGTATACATTACTCACATGTTCTATAGTAACTGTTGTATTAGTCACATGTTCTATAGTAACTGTTGTATTAGTCACATGTTCTATAGTAACTGTTGTATACATTAGTCACATGTTCTATAGTAACTGTTGTTTACATTAGTCACATGTTCTATAGTAACTGTTGTTTACATTAGTCACATGTTCTATAGTAACTGTTGTTTACATTAGTCACATGTTCTATAGTAACTGTTGTATACATTAGTCACATGTTCTATAGTAACTGTTGTATACATTAGTCACATGTTCTATAGTAACTGTTGTATTAGTCACATGTTCTATAGTAACTGTTGTTTACATGAGTCACATGTTCTATAGTAACTGTTGTATTAGTCACATGTTCTATAGTAACTGTTGTATACATTAGTCACATGTTCTATAGTAACTGTTGTATACATTAGTCACATGTTCTATAGTAACTGTTGTTTACATTAGTCACATGTTCTATAGCAACTGTTGTATACATTAGTCACATGTTCTATAGTAACTGTTGTATTAGTCACATGTTATATAGTAACTGTTGTATACATTAGTCACATGTTCTATAGTAACTGTTGTATACATTAGTCACATGTTCTATAGTAACTGTTGTATACATTAGTCACATGTTCTATAGTAACTGTTGTATACATTAGTCACATGTTCTATAGTAACTGTTGTATACATTAGTCACATGTTCTATAGTAACTGTTGTATACATTAGTCACATGTTCTATAGTAACTGTTGTATACATTAGTCACATGTTCTATAGTAACTGTTGTATACATTAGTCACATGTTCTATAGTAACTGTTGTATACATCAGTCACATGTTCTATAGTAACTGTTGTATTAGTCACATGTTATATAGTAACTGTTGTATACATTAGTCACATGTTCTATAGTAACTGTTGTATACATTAGTCACATGTTCTATAGTAACTGTTTTTTACATTAGTCACATGTTCTATAGTAACTGTTGTATACATTAGTCACATGTTCTATAGTAACTGTTGTATACATCAGTCACATGTTCTATAGTAACTGTTGTATTAGTCACATGTTATATAGTAACTGTTGTATACATTAGTCACATGTTCTATAGTAACTGTTGTATACATTAGTCACATGTTCTATAGTAACTGTTTTTTACATTAGTCACATGTTCTATAGTAACTGTTGTATACATTAGTCACATGTTCTATAGTAACTGTTGTATACATTAGTCACATGTTCTATAGTAACTGTTTTTTACATTAGTCACATGTTCTATAGTAACTGTTGTATACATTAGTCACATGTTCTATAGTAACTGTTGTATTAGTCACATGTTCTATAGTAACTGCTGTATTAGTCACATGTTCTATAGTAACTGTTGTTTACATTAGTCACATGTTCTATAGTAACTGTTGTTTACATTAGTCACATGTTCTATAGTAACTGTTGTTTACATTAGTCACATGTTCTATAGTAACTGTTGTATTAGTCACATGTTCTATAGTAACTGTTTTTTACATTAGTCACATGTTCTATAGTAACTGTTGTATACATTAGTCACATGTTCTATAGTAACTGTTGTTTACATTAGTCACATGTTCTATAGTAACTGTTGTATTAGTCACATGTTCTATAGTAACTGTTGTATACATTAGTCACATGTTCTATAGTAACTGTTGTATACATTAGTCACATGTTCTATAGTAACTGTTGTTTACATTAGTCACATGTTCTATAGCAACTGTTGTATACATTAGTCACATGTTCTATAGTAACTGTTGTATTAGTCACATGTTATATAGTAACTGTTGTATACATTAGTCACATGTTCTATAGTAACTGTTGTATACATTAGTCACATGTTCTATAGTAACTGTTGTATACATTAGTCACATGTTCTATAGTAACTGTTGTATACATTAGTCACATGTTCTATAGTAACTGTTGTATACATTAGTCACATGTTCTATAGTAACTGTTGTATACATTAGTCACATGTTCTATAGTAACTGTTGTATACATTAGTCACATGTTCTATAGTAACTGTTGTATACATTAGTCACATGTTCTATAGTAACTGTTGTATACATCAGTCACATGTTCTATAGTAACTGTTGTATTAGTCACATGTTATATAGTAACTGTTGTATACATTAGTCACATGTTCTATAGTAACTGTTGTATACATTAGTCACATGTTCTATAGTAACTGTTTTTTACATTAGTCACATGTTCTATAGTAACTGTTGTATACATTAGTCACATGTTCTATAGTAACTGTTGTATACATCAGTCACATGTTCTATAGTAACTGTTGTATTAGTCACATGTTATATAGTAACTGTTGTATACATTAGTCACATGTTCTATAGTAACTGTTGTATACATTAGTCACATGTTCTATAGTAACTGTTTTTTACATTAGTCACATGTTCTATAGTAACTGTTGTATACATTAGTCACATGTTCTATAGTAACTGTTGTATACATTAGTCACATGTTTCTATAGTAACTGTTTTTTACATTAGTCACATGTTCTATAGTAACTGTTGTATACATTAGTCACATGTTCTATAGTAACTGTTGTATTAGTCACATGTTCTATAGTAACTGTTGTATTAGTCACATGTTCTATAGTAACTGTTGTTTACATTAGTCACATGTTCTATAGTAACTGTTGTTTACATTAGTCACATGTTCTATAGTAACTGTTGTATTAGTCACATGTTCTATAGTAACTGTTTTTTACATTAGTCACATGTTCTATAGTAACTGTTGTTTACATTAGTCACATGTTCTATAGTAACTGTTGTATTAGTCACATGTTCTATAGTAACTGTTGTATTAGTCACATGTTCTATAGTAACTGTTGTTTACATTAGTCACATGTTCTATAGTAACTGTTGTTTACATTAGTCACATGTTCTATAGTAACTGTTGTATACATTAGTCACATGTTCTATAGTAACTGTTGTATTAGTCACATGTTCTATAGTAACTGTTGTATACATTAGTCACATGTTCTATAGTAACTGTTGTATTAGTCACATGTTCTATAGTAACTGTTGTTTACATTAGTCACATGTTCTATAGTAACTGTAGTTTACATTAGTCACATGTTCTATAGTAACTGTTGTTTACATTAGTCACATGTTCTATAGTAACTGTTGTTTACATTAGTCACATGTTCTATAGTAACTGTTGTATTAGTCACATGTTCTATAGTAACTGTTGTATTAGTCACATGTTCTATAGTAACTGTTGTTTACATTAGTCACATGTTCTATAGTAACTGTTGTTTACATTAGTCACATGTTCTATAGTAACTGTTGTATTAGTCACATGTTCTATAGTAACTGTTGTATACATTAGTCACATGTTCTATAGTAACTGTTGTTTACATTAGTCACATGTTCTATAGTAACTGTTGTATACATTAGTCACATGTTCTATAGTAACTGTTGTATTAGTCACATGTTATATAGTAACTGTTGTTTACATTAGTCACATGTTCTATAGTAACTGTTGTATACATTAGTCACATGTTCTATAGTAACTGTTGTTTACATTAGTCACATGTTCTATAGTAACTGTTGTATACATTAGTCACATGTTCTATAGTAACTGTTGTATACATTAGTCACATGTTCTATAGTAACTGTTGTATACATTAGTCACAAGTTCTATAGTAACTGTTGTATTAGTCACATGTTCTATAATAACTGTTTTTACATTAGTCACATGTTCTATAGTAACTGTTGTTTACATTAGTCACATGTTCTATAGTAACTGTTGTATTAGTCACATGTTCTATAGTAACTGTTGTATTAGTCACATGTTCTATAGTAACTGTTGTTTACATTAGTCACATGTTCTATAGTAACTGTTGTTTACATTAGTCACATGTTCTATAGTAACTGTTGTATACATTAGTCACATGTTCTATAGTAACTGTTGTATTAGTCACATGTTCTATAGTAACTGTTGTATACATTAGTCACATGTTCTATAGTAACTGTTGTATTAGTCACATGTTCTATAGTAACTGTTGTTTACATTAGTCACATGTTCTATAGTAACTGTAGTTTACATTAGTCACATGTTCTATAGTAACTGTTGTTTACATTAGTCACATGTTCTATAGTAACTGTTGTTTACATTAGTCACATGTTCTATAGTAACTGTTGTATTAGTCACATGTTCTATAGTAACTGTTGTATTAGTCACATGTTCTATA